GGAGGGGAATGGATGATGAATTTTGCTGCTCTAAGCACTGTCTCCTCATCAAACAACCACTCCTCTAGATCTTCCATCCAACATTTATTGTTTCTTTATTTCTGTATGGGAGCCATTCTAACTGGGTGAGGTGAAACCTCATTATGGTTTTTATTTGCGTTTCCTTGATAGCTAGTGATCCCGAGCATTTTTTCATGTGTCCATTGGCCATTTGAATTTCCCTTTTGAAAAATGCCTGTGAGAGTCTTCTGCCCATTTCTTTACTCGATTGTTTGTTTTGTTGTTGTTGAGTTTTTGAGCTCTTTTATAGAGTCTGAATATTAATCCTTTATCAGTGCCATAGTTCATAAATACTTTATACCATTCTGTCACCTGGTTCTCAGCTTGCTAAAGTTTCTTTTCCAGTTCAGAAGCTTCTCAGCTTCATGTAATCTGATTTGTAAACTTTGGCATTGATTGCCTGGGCATGTGGGATCTATTCCAAGAAGTTTTTGCCTATGCCAATGTCTTTCAGAATTTTCACTATATTCTCCTCTAGTTATTGGATGTTCTCAGGTCATAGATTTGTATCCTTACCCATTTTGTGTTGATTTTTGTAGAAGATGTAAGGTAGAGATCTTGTTTCATGGTTCTGCATGCAGAGATCCAATATTCCCAGCATCATTTATTGAAGAGACTGTCCTTACTTCAGGGATTGTTTTTAGCTCCTTTGTCAACAATTACTTGGTTGTACATATGTGGATTGATTTCTGGAGTTTCTATTCTTCACTTGATCTTAGCCAAAAGGCTGAGAAGTGATGGAGTTTATATTCTTGTCCATTGGTCTACATGTCTATTTCTATGACATAAATTTGGCCTTTAGACAAATGGCTCTGTGACCTCTACAAAGGTATAATCTCTCTGACCCTTTACTACATTCTTGTGTGACATTAGATAGTTGAAATAAGTTGGTGACTTTTATACCTTTCAAAATTGTTTTGAAGAATCAAGCTTTTTGAAAAAAGTTGCATGCGACCAGATTAAGCAAACTGATGAAAGTAGAGATGTGTGACTAAAAGAGGACTGAGGCTCTAAAACTGGCTTCCTTATGCCTTCAACTTACAGTGTCCTCTGTGGAAACTTAGACTTCTGTAGAACCTCAGTGAAAACTGGGAGAATCCTTGTAATCAGCAAAAATGCTCTGGGACATTATTACATTGTTTTCCAGTTTAGAATTCCCTAATTTAAAAAATGCTAATTTATTTGAAAAGCAGTTACATACAGGTGGGTAAAATAGCAATAAAGATAGACATTTCACAGCTGCTGGTTCACTCATAAAATATCCATGGCAGCTGAGAGTGAACCCCATCAGAACCAGAAGCCAAAAATTCCATCTAGGTCTCCCATGTGGGTGACAAGCACCCAAGGATTTGAATGATCATCTGCTGCCACCCAGAGTACTCATTAGGAGGAGGCTGGATTCTAAAGTGTTGCTAGGAATAGAACGCATCCACTCCAACATGGGTTGCACATGTCCCAAGTGGTATCTTAACCACTGTGCCTAACACTTGCATCTGAAAGATACATCTAAGTACTCATCTAACACCTGCTCGTTTTCCCTCATCAGTAGGACTAAATCACCCTAACCTCCTCCTTTCCAAGACAAAGCCAGAGATAGCCTCAACACTCAGGGCTCTTTTCCTAAGCTATTCCCTTTCTGGAATAGTTTCCTCCCACGCCCTGACTGTCCTTTGAATGGCGGAGCTTCGGTGTCTTACCTAGAATCTCTTTCTCAGAGACAGTTGACCTCAGCTGTCATTGATACCAAGTATTTCAGGGTCAGAGGTGGACTGGAGAATTTATGTAGGGGAAGGCTGCTCCAGGGGTGGATTAGCGGCAATTCCTTCTACTTTGTATTATTAATATAAGAAATAGAAGAAAAAAGTGAACTCTGCTTAAATTTGTTTACCAAAGCTGTTCTTCAGTACAAGGCATGCAATTTTTCAAGCAGTGTATTCTACTTTTCACCTTGTAAAATTTACATTTACAAATAGTTTTGTGAGTGAGGCATAAAAGCATAAGATCTATTTACATAGAAAGGACACTTTTAGGAAAAGAATTTTTAGGGGGAAAGGTAACATCATATTGGTAACAGAAAATGTGATTCACACTTTACATAGTTTTCATGTGATACATTCTTTGAGTAAGGCCTTCCCTTCCATCTGGCACTGAATTTTTAACTTTCATAATACCTAGCTTGCTCATTGCCCTATTTTTCATTTCTATAAAGCTTTTCCATAAAGCTCTTTTCACAGAAACATTATGAAAAACTCCCTCAAAATATTGAAGAAGTTGCCAGTCGAAAGCATTTGTCATCACACCAAAATCTTGAAAAGCATTGGATATCATACTGTCCTTATTACTGTCCTTAAGCAACACAGGGCTATTTTAGGCCCTGTTTGGGGCATTTAATGAGATATTATATTTTCCCATTTATTTCTTTGAAAGGCAGAGTGACAGGGATGTAGAGAGCTCCTCTATTCAATCTATTCTATCCAATTCTGTTCTATTTAATCCCCAAATGCCTGAAATAGTCAGGGCTGGACCAGGATAAAACCAGGATCCAGAAACTTCATCAGATGTTAGATGCCTAAAGATTTGAGCCGTCATCAGCTGCCTCACCAGGCAGATGAACACTAAACTAGATTATATGCACAGTAGCAAGGATTCAAACTGACATTTCAGTATGGGATAACAGCAACTCAGGTGGTGCCACCACACAGATCCCAGGATATCATTACTTTTAAAAGCTTCAGTAAAAACACCCTAGATGAAAACACTTGACATACAGTGTGAAATATTCCCACAATTTCATAATTAAGTAAATAAAACTAAAATTAGCCAAGCAATTGAAACATTGGTCCTAACTTCTGAGGAGAAATCAAAGTTATAATTACAGAGCTACATCTTTTTCCTTATTTATAACCTAGGTAGTCATGAATCATGAACTAACTTGAACAATAGCTGTTACCTGTATTGAACGTTTTTCCAGCAAATATTGGCTCTTAGAACAGATAGTATGGCATATTCATTTAATATTTTGCCAGTAGAATTTTCTCCTGACATCCTGAGAGTATCATTTCCTCTATGCATGTACTTAAGATTCTGTGCTGAAAACTGAACATAGAATATATTTTGTTTTTAGTTTTAATTATTTTTATTCTATTTAAAGCAGAAAGAGAGAGGGTCAGAGAGAGACAGAGATCTTCCATCTGCTGGCTCTCTCCCCAGATGTCCACAACAGACAGGGCTCAGCTAGGCTGAAACTAGGACACAGAACTCAATCTCCCATGCAGGCGGTAAAGCCTCGAGTCCTTGAGTCATTTTCTGTCTTCCCAGGGTGTGCGTTACCAGTAGTGGGAAGATGACCCAAACCAGGTTCTTGGATGCAGATGCACTAAAACTTGCTCTTATTAAACTTTAAATTTTTAATTTTCTACAAGTGGATTCTAGAAAATTCAATTTAAGGGAAAATAAAGCAACAAAATTCACTTAATTTTATAAAGGACAGATTTTTCCTAAGAATACCCAAAAAGTTCATTTAGTTTAAACCATGACTTGATATTTTAACCTTCTACTGCTAAGATGAAACAGCACACTTCTAAAATAATGTATACCAACAGCCTTATACTAATTGTACTTTATATTAGATTAGTGAAATAGCATTACACAAAACTGCTGTCTATTAGGTAATCTTAAAATCATCAAGAATCTTATTAGATGTGATTTTTGTATTAAGTCGTCTTCAAGTTGGGTCTATAAGGCCTCATTTTCTAAGTAATGCATGATTTGCATAATGATGTATCCTATTGGCTGTAAATGGGATAAATAACATTTCACTTCAGATGCTAGAGGAGATACAAATTTAAATAGAGAACTAGATGAGGTATATTGCTATAATTTGTTAATTGAATTTGGATGAATTGTCTTCTGAAATCAAATATATATTGGAAGTAACAGCACTTTCCATTGCTTGGTTAATAGAAATGACATGAAAGATATTTCCTTGATGAACCTCATGAAATATGTGAAAACATATACATGATAATGAAGAATGTATCTATTTTTAATTTAGTCATCACATTCCATAGCTTTTGAAAAATCTCAGAGCCTATGCATCTCTTATTTCTGAATGGATACTTTTGCATCTCCGTGGTACTGCCAGCCCACACAGTACAATTCAAAGAACACAACAGCACTATCAGCTTCTCAGGTTATGGGAGAGATACTAAGCCCCAAACACCCAATCACCCGTGAATATTTAGGCAGCTACATTTCATGAAGCTGTGATTGGCTGGTGACCTCTGGACATTTACTTTAACAGTGGTTTATCTTTTCCTCTAGGAAGAACTCCAAATTCCTTAGCATGGAATAAAAACATTTAAGTCACTTTGGCTCTTGCTAGTCCAAACTAGACTCTTTAGAATTCCATCCATTTTCTTCCTCACCTCTAACTTTTTGCAAGTCTTATGTTTCTCCCTCTTTCTGATACACATTTTCACTGTCTTCTTGGTGTAAAATTACATGATGCTTGAACCAAATTTTCCACAATATTGGTACAAAATTAGGACACATGCCCCTTCTGTGTGTTGTAGCAATAAACTATTTTATTCCTTTATTCCTGTCATCCCATCTATGACTCCGAATGGAAATGACCTGTTTGTGCTGTTGGGTTTGTTTATGATTATTGATGGATGGACTGTCCTCCTCATTACTTACCACATGTTTGCTGAACAAATGAAAACCAAGAGTTCCAAGTCTTAACACAATGATAACTAATTGCATACATAACTATGGGCAAACTGTGTATAGTAGCGATTTTGTTTTGTAGTCATAGTCATACCTATATATTTTTTCTTAACCGTGTTAGGGTTCTCAAACTTTAAAATACTGACTTAGACTTCATTAACTGTGAAGTCTTCCAGATAAAAAACAGAATTATTATTATTTCTTCTTTTCAGGCATTGATGAACTGGAATCTGAAGCTTATCAACTACTCCTTTCACATATAATGAGAAGACAAATCTAAATCATTATCTAGTGCTGAAAATGCAAGAATGTGTAAATATTTAAAATAAAAATTATATAATCTGGAGATAAATGTTCCTGATTATACTTTTTACATAATACTTTAGATTTTTCTACTAAATATATGATTGTGAAAATTCTCTTTAAAAGAAAACACTTTTGAATTATGTGTGCTTGATCAAAAAATCCAGCTTTCTAAAATATTTATTTGGAAAGATGAAAGACAGGGAAAAAGCGAGAGAGAAAGGGAGGGGAAAGACAGTACTCCCTCCCACTGGTACACTGATCCTTGGGGCAAAGTCAGTTGCCAGGAACTCAGTTCAGGTCTCTCACATGGGTGGCAGAGATCTCAACAACTTAAATGGATAGCCCCTGCCTCCCACAATGCACTTGTCACAGGAAGCTGGAATCAGGATTACAGCTGAGACTCAACCTAAATTTCTCCAATATGGATTGCAGACATTCCAAGTAGTGTCGTAACTGCTGTATCCAATGCTGGGCCCTATATAGCATTTGAAAACTTTTCTGAGGATCTGTAAGTTACTCTTGAGGAGGTTTTGCAAATGCAAACCAGTGATACTAATAGACCCAGTGTGTCCATATGCCAGCTGTTAAACTGTACCCAAATTGTTATTGATAATTTAGTAGTTAATTGTGACTTGTTTGTATTTGTAAATTTTTGTCATTATAAACAAACCTAAATATTTAGATATCTTTTTGGTACACCAGTGCTGTGGGCATTATCGATGTTTGGATATATTGCAAACATTATAATATCCCCAAACTTGCAGAATTTCAATTTTATGCACTGATGCTAATAGAGCTTTCTTTACAGGGAAATTATGTTTACCTAAGCTTTTCATGTGTTCTGTTTGTTTATTTTTTTATTAACTTTTTAGAAACAATCTTTTTTAAAAGATTTATTTATTTGAAAGAGTTACAGAGAGGCAGAGGCAGAGAGAGACGTCTTCAATCCACTGGTTCATTCCCCAAATGGCCACAACAGCTAGAGCTGAGCTGATTTGAAGCCAGGAGACAGGCGCTTCTTCTGAGTCTCCCATGCAGGTTCAGGGTCCCAAGCACTTGGGCCATCTTCTACTGCTTTCCCAGGCCATAGCAGAGAGCTGGATTGGAAGTGGAGTAGCCAAGACTCAATCTGGCACCCAAATGGGATGCTGGCACAGCAGGCATCAACTTTACCTGCTTTGCCACAGAGCCAGGCCTGGAAACAATCTTAAAATTAGAGAAAAGTTCCAAATTCTAGTATAATTTCTGAACCTGAAACATTTGAGAATAAACTGTTGAGGACATTAAATGATCACCACTGATTACTTTCAGGTTTCTTTTCTACAAGTGAAAACCTTGCGTATACCTATGATACAACCTTCCTAATCAGAAAGTTACCACTCATACATTCTATCATTCAATCCTTAGATTCTTTTCAAGTGTTGCTACTTAACTATGGGTGCTTTTTATGACCAAAGAATCCCATTCAAATTCAGTGTGTTGGCATAGTGTTTCAGTTTGGAATATGAATATTTGAGAGGCACAGAGAAATATCTGGTTAAATTAGCATTTGGGAGTATTTGGACAAGGCAAAGTAATCAAATTAATCAGTTGAAAATAAAGCTTTGATTTTTGAATGAAACTGAACTGAGTTGCAAGATGCGATGTTGTAACACCAGGCAGAATTTCCTAGTGGGCAAAAGAAACTTCAAGAGTTGGCCAGGGTTGGGGCTTTGCATGTGTGTTTTCTCCACCTGTCTCATAGTAGCAGGTTGGGAAAGTTCAGCAGCTCCAGTAAATTCAGTTTTGAGGCTCCTTTCTACTGCACGCTGTCTCTACTGCAGCAGACCTTTTACAAGAAAAGATTGAAAAGCCTTCGCTCCTGAAATTCCTGTCTTTCTCATTTCTCTAAAAAGTATTTATATGAGTTCCTTATGTGTGTTTTATCATTTGTGGTCATAACATATGAGACACCATTCCTTTTTATCCTTTTTTTAAAAAAATTTAAGGTGAAAAAATTTCACATATTTTGTGTATACAGATTTAAGAGCGTGGTAATAGTACCCACCCAATCCTCTGTCCTGCCCATGTTCCCACTCTCCCACTTTTTTCTTTCTGAATTTTCCTTTAATGTTTACAGTGATCTACTTTCAGTTTATTTTATATTCGTTAGGTTAGCCTTACACTAAGTAAATAATTCAACACATAGAAGAAATAAGCAGTATTCATCAAAGGTACAATCATTGAATCAACGAATTTCCAAATGTCAATTTTACTCATATACTTACATTTATGATACCCTATTAGTTACCACAGATTAGGGAACACAGGGTATTTATCTTTTTGGGACTGCCTTATTTCACTAAATGTAAAGTTTTCCAGTTACATCCATTTTATAGCATAAGATGGGATTTCATAATTTTTTATACCTGAGTAGTATTCCACATTATATAAATATACCACAGTTTCTTTATCCCGTCATCAGGTGATAGACATCTGGGTTGATTCCATATCTTATCTAGTGTGAATTGAGGTGTAATAAACATGGGTGTACAGATAATTCTTTCACAAGCTGAGTTCATTTTGTTTGGGTAAATTCCCAGGAGTGAGATCGCTGGAGCATATGGTAGATCTATTTTCAGGACTCTGAGGCATCTCTGTAATGTTCTCCAGTGGCTATAGTCATTTATACTAACACCAATAGTGGATTAGGGTACCCTTTTCACCATATACTCAGCAGCATTTAATGTTTGTTGATTTCTGTATGATAGCCATTCTAAGTAGGGTGAAGTGAAACCTCAATGTGGCTTTGATTTGCATTTCCGTGATAGCTATTTTATATGTGTCTGTTGGCCATTTGAGTTTCCTCTTCTGAAAAATGCCTCTTCAGGCCCTTCACCCTTTTCTTAACTGGATTGTTTGTTTTATTGTGATTGAGATTCTTGAGCTCTTTATAGATTATGGATATTAATCCTTTATCAGTTTCAGAGTTTGCAAATATTTTCTTCCCTTCTGTTGGTTTCCTCTTCACTTTGTTGGCTGTTCCCTTTGCAGTGCAAAACCTTAGCTTAAAGTAATCAAATTTGTCTATTTTTTTGATTTCCTGTGCTTCCGGGGTCTTTTCCACATCAGTGTCTTGCAGTTTCCCCAGTATTCTTCTCTAGTAATTTGTAGTTCTCAGGTCATGGATTTAGATCTTTGATCCACTTTGAATTGACTGTTATAAAAGTTGTAAGGTAAGGGTTTGTTTCACATTCCACATGTGGAGATCCAATTTTCCCAGCACCACTTGTTGAAGAGACTGCCTGTACTTTCTTCAGGTATTGATTCTAGCTCCTTTGTCAAAGATTAGTTGGATGTAGATGTGTGGATTGTTTTCCAAAATTTCTATTCTGTTCCATTGGCCTACATGATTATTTTTGTGCCAGTACACAGCTGTTTTGATTACAATTGCCCCGTAGTATGTCTTGAAATCTGGTGTTGTGATTCCACTGGGTTTGTCTTTGTTGCTTAAGATTTCTTTAGCTTTTGGGATCTCTTGTGTTTCCATATGAATTTTAGCATTTTATTTCTAGATCTGAGAAGAATGTCATTGGCATTTTGATTGGGATTGCATGAATCTGCAAATTGCTTTTGGTAGTATCGACATTTTGATGATGTTGATTATACCAAACCATGAACGTGGATGATTTTTTCCCATTTTTAAGGTCTTCTTCTATTTCCTTTTTAATGTTTTGTAATTTTCATCAAAGAGCTCTTTGGTTAAATTTATTCCAAGGTATTTTTTTTTGTAGTTTTGTGAATGGGATTGACCTTACAAGTTTTTTTTTCTCAGCCATGGCATTTTCTAGTATTCATAGGCTATTGATTTTTCTGTGTTAATATTATATCCTCCAATGTTTCCAAGCTATCTTATGAATGTCAGTAGTGTCTTAGTGGAATATTTTGGTTCCCCTGTAGATTTCCGTCATCTGCAAACAAGGATAATTTGAATTTGTCCTTTCGAGTTGATTCCTTTGATTTCTATTTTTGCCTATTCATTCTGCCAGAAACTTCAACTGTATTGAATAGCATTGGTGAAAGCAGGCACTCTTGTCTGGTTCAAGACTTTAGTGGAAAAAGCTCCAACTTTTCCCCATTCAATATGTAGCTTGCTCTGGGTTTGTCATAAATTGCCTTGATTTTGTTGAGAACCGTTCCTTCTATATACAATGTGCTTAAGGTTTTTATTATGAAAGGATGTTGTATTTTATCTAATCCTTTCTCTGCACCTATTGAGATCAACACATGGTTATTATTCTTCAGTTTGTTAATGTGATGTAACACATTTATTGATTTGTATTTGTTGAACCATCCCTGCATACCTCAGATAAATCCCACTGGTTCAGGTGGATGATGTTTCTGTTGTGTTGTTGGATTTGATTAGCTAGTATTTTGTTGAGGATTTTTGCATTAATGTTCGTCAGTGATATTTGTCTCTACTCCCTGTTTGTTGTGTCTTCTGGTTTTGGAATTAAGGTGATGTTGACCTCATAAATAGTTTGGGAGTATTCCCACCCTTTGAAATGCTTTGAATAACTTGAGAAGAATTGGAATTAGTTATTTTTTAAAAATTTGGTAGAATTCACATATGAAGCCATACATTCATTGGCTTTTCTTTTTTGAAAGATCTTTACTACTGATTCAATATCCATCTTGGTTATTAGTCCATTTAGTTTTTCTGTGTCTTCATGACTCCATATTGTTATTTTTGTTTCAATTTTACATATTTCTTCTCTACTTTTAATTATTTCTTTCCTCCTACTAATTTTAGTTTGGCTTGTTGTTGTTTTTCTAGGTCCTTGAGATGTGCTGATAGCTCATTTATTTAATGCTTTTCTAATTTCTTGATGTAGCCACTAACTGCTGTAAACTTCTGTCTTAACACTGTCTTTGCTGTTACATGTTTTGATATGGTTTACTGACATACTCATTCATTTACAGTAACTGTTTAATTTCTTTTTTGATTTGTTATGTGATCCACTGTTCGACAAGGAATGTGTTATTCAGTCTGCATGTGTTTGCATATTTTCAAGAAATCTTTATTGTCTTCAGGAAAGAGGCATGATATGGTTTCATCTTTTTAATTTGCTGAGATTTGCTTTATGGCTTATCATATGATCTCTCCTGGAGAGAATTATATGTACTGATGAGAACAGTGTGTATTCTGCAACTGTGGGCTGACAGGTTCTGTAGATATCAGTTAGGTCCATCTGATCCACAGTGTAGATTAGTTATGTTATTTCTTTGTTGGTTTTCTGTCTGGTGATCTGTGCATTTATGAAAGTGGGTAGTTGAATTGCCCTGTTACTATTGTATTGGAGTCTACATCAGCCTTTAGATCAATTAACATTTGTATTAGCCAGGTGCCCTGGTAGTTTAGTGCATATATCTATCTTCCTGTTAAATTCACCCTTTAATCATTATTCAATACCCTTCTTTGTCTCTTTTAAGAGTTTTTGTGTTAAAGTCTATTTTGTCTGATACTAGTATACACACACCTGTTAGATTTTGCTTTCTGTTAGCATGGAGTATCTTTTTCCATACTTTAACTTTCATTTTGTGTGTATCTTTTTTTTAAAGATTTATTTATTCACTTGAAAGTTAGAGTTACACACACACACACAAACACACACACACACGGGGTGGGGGGGGGCCTTCCATCCGATGGTTCACTCCCCAGTTGGCCACAACAGCCGGAACTGTGCCAATCTGAAGCCAAGAGCCAGGAGCTTTCTCCCAGGTCTCCCTCACGGGTTCAGGGGCCCAAGGACTTAGGCCATCTTCCACTTCTTTCCCAGGCCACAGCAGAGAGCTGGATTGAAAGTGGAGCAGCTGAGCTGGCGCCTCGGCTCACTAGGCTAATCCTCCGCCTTGCGGCCCCGGCACACTGGGTTCTAGTCCCGGTTGGGGCGCCGGATTCTGTCCTGGTTGCCCCTCTTCCAGGCCAGCTCTCTGCTGTGGCCAGGGAGTGCAGTGGAGGATGGCCCAGGTGCTTGGGCCCTGCACCCCATGGGAGACCAGGAAAAAGCACCTGGCTCCTGGCTCCTGCCATCGGATCAGTGCGGTGCGCCAGCCACAGCGCGCCGGCCGCGGCGGCCATTGGAGGGTGAACCAACGGCAAAGGAAGACCTTTCTCTCTGTCTCTCTCTCTCACTGTCCACTCTGCCTGTCCAAAAAAAAAAAAAAAGTGGATCAGCTGGGTCTCGAACCAGTGCCCATATGGGATGCCGGCGCTTCAGGCCAGGGTGTTAACTCACTGCACCACAGCACCAGCTCCATGTATATCTTTTTTTTTTTTTAACAAAAATTCATTTATTTATATGAAAGGCAGAATTACAGAGAGGTAGAGGCAGAGAGAGATAGAGAGGTCGTCTATCCTCTGGTTCACTTCCCAGATGACTGCAATGTGCAGAGATGAGCCCAACCAAAGCTAAGAGCCAGGAGATTCTTCTGGGTCTCTCACGTGCTTTTAGGGGCCCAAGGACTTGGGTCGTCTTCTACTGCTTTCCCAGGCCATAGCAGAGAGCTGAATTTGAAGTGGAGGAGCCAGGACTCGAACCAATACCCATATTGGATGGCAGCACTACAGACGGTGGTATTACCTGCTATTAAACAATGCCAGCCCCTTGTGTGTATCTGTGGTGTCTGGTCTTGTTTTTTAATCCATTCAACTAATCTGTACTTGTTAATTGGAGAATGGACCATTTACATTCAAGGTTACTATAAAGAAGTAACGACTTGGCCCTTCCATTTTCCCATAAGTGTTCATATTATTTGCTTTGGATTTCCTAGGAGATTTTCTGCCTTCACATTCATTCATACATAATGATAACTAGCTGTGTTTCTGTATGTGGCATATCTTTAAGCATCACTTATAAGGCTGGACAAGTGGTGACAAACTTGCAATTTCTGTTTGTTAAGGAAGGTTTTTATTTCAACTTAATTCACAAATGAGAACTTTGCAAAGTACTATGTTCTGGGCTGACAGGTTTTTTTTTTTTCTTTTTTTGTCTTAAGACTTGGACTATCTCTCCAGTCTCCCCTAGCCTGTAACCTTTCTGGTGAGAAATCAGCTGTGAGTTGACTGGAAATCCTCTGAAAATGATCTGGCATTTCCCTCGTGCACATTTTAGAATCTTTTCTTTGTTTTACTTTTGAAAGTTTGCAATGTGTCATGATGAAGTTCTGTTCTTTTTTATCTTCCTCTTTTTTTGTTTTATTTAAGTTATACAAGTTTCATATATATTTAATATATACAGATTTAGGATCATAGTGGGACACCCTGCCCATCTGCCCTCCTACCCACATTCCAACCTTTCCTCCACCTCCCTCTTAGATTCCCTGATCATGTCTATTAGGATTTCTATGTGATCCTTATACTGGGATGTCCCTTTCTTTGTTCAAATTAAGGAAGTTTTCTGTTATTATTTAACTGAATTTGCCTTCTCATTCATTCTCTTTCCACACATTCAGGAACTCCTACGACCTATATGTCGATTAGTTTGATAGTATCCCATAAATCTTGACCACTTTTTAATTTATCTAATTTATTCTTTTTTTTGGTCTGATATTTTCTGTGATTTTTCATCTAGCTCAGATATTCTTTCTTCTGCTTCACTAAGTCTGTTATTAATAGTTTCCTCTGTATTTTTATTTGAAATGTTGAACACTTCATTTCTAATATTTTAATTTAATTTTGCTTTAAAATCTCAATCCCATGGGAAAATTTTCCATCCATATCATGTATGGATTTTGTTTACTCATGAATTTGCTTCTTATTGCTTCTGAATAATCCTATGATCATTCTTTTGAATTCCATTTCAGGCATTTCCTCAATCTCTTGGTCTTCACATTCTCATATTGAAGTGTTGTTACGTTCCATTTGGCGGAGTCATGTTATCTTTGTTATTCTTGTTTCTTGAATTTATGCCTAAGTTTTCATGCATTTGTGGAATTACTTGTTGGTTTTCTCCTCTGATACATTGTATGTGTGAATTATGCCTCTGTGGCTTAATGTAATGTCTGCTATTTCAATGAAAACCCAGAATCATGTGCTTGGTGTGGCCAGGGAGTTCTACTCAGTGCTCAGGGTGAAGTGAGACTCCAGGGTGACACCCACGTTGGGTGTGGTAGATCTCCATTGACGCAATGACAGCCTCACCTCCTGTCATCCAAAGTGATCAACGCTCAGGGTTAGCCCCCAGTGTATACACCCCTCATCCATGGTGGCACATGACCCACACAAAAGATATGTGCAGTCCTCACTGTGACCAGGGGACCCTTTGCAATGAACTACCTCAGGTGATCAGGAGCTCTGATGTGAGACACAGGGATTGCCCAGAGAATCAGCTATACCTCACACCGTATCATGCAGTCACCGAATTCACACAATCACAGCACTCAAGGTCCTCATAACCACAGGGCTCAGAAGATATGCTCAGCCTTGGAGCTTGCACCTTCCACAGAGAGTGCGGATGCAAGAAGTTCGCAGAGCCAGCTATTTGTGGGTGCTTTACCTTGGCAGTTTGGGCCCCAGAGCTTGTGATATATTGAGAGGATAGAAGTACCTCACAATCCTACGTGGGTGTCCAGCACCTTGTTAAACCCTCAGCAAGACTCCTAGTCAGTGGGGGAACACAGTATTTTCTCTCTGCTAAAATCCCCTTGTTACAGGCCCACACAAGAACCACCACAGCCTCTGCTGTGTCAAAATGGCACTTTCTCATGGACATCACTGTGGTTTAGTCGCTTAAATCAATCTGCAGGGCTCACATCTGATATCCGCTCCAATTCAAATACTAGCTAGTCCACTTCTGACCCAGCTCCCTGCTAATGCTCTGGGAAAGCAGTAGAGGACGGCCTAAGTGCTTGGGCCCTTGCCCCTATATTGGAGACCCAGAGGAAGCTCTGGACTCTCAGCTTTGGCTTGGTCCAATCCTGGCCATTCTCACCATTGGAAGTGAAACAGCAGATGGAAGATCTCTTTCTCTCTCTCTCTCTGTCTCTCCCTCTGTGGCTTTCAAATAAATACATCTGTTTTTAAAAAAATGGTATCTTCTCTCCATCAGCTGCTGGGTGTCTTTGTTGGGAGATGAGAAAGAAACCTGCTCAATTGGCTGGATTAAGTGGCTACCCTCTCCCCTGCACTCTCCAGGCTGGAATCACAGAAATGTGGTCTGAAAGGCTCTCCCTCTGACAATATCACAAGTGGCATGGGCTGCCACAGAATGCTCTTACCTCACACCCCAAAGCTGTCATCTCCTCTAGCTCCTAGCTGTGGGTATCGTGTGTGGTGTCCATGCTTGTTGCTACCCACCCGCGGCTTCCACATTGCTTCATAGCCTCTTCCTTCTGTAGCATGTCCACCACAAACTTCCCTCCAGCTCTCCCCGGGAATGCACTTCTTCTGTTTGTCTTCTACTATTTCCCCTTGGTCAAAAATAGCACATCTTTCCCCTATTCATCCATCTTGGAATCTCCCCCATGACACACCATTCCATTTGCTAAATTAGTTGGAGAAATTGATTTTACCAGAAAGATTCAGAAGTAATGGAGCATTATATTCTAGTGAAAAGTTTAGACATAGAATCCTTAAACTTCAGAGAATCAGTGAGGTTGCAACTCATATCCATAGCCAGAGACAGAATTAGAGGGCTACAAGTCCTAGCATTTCTGTGGCCTGTTTAACTTTGGTTGTTTGATTTAGCAACCTGTGCCTGGGCAAGAGAGGAAAACACCCAATATATTTACCTCCCCCTAGTTAAAAATATATTTGTTTGCTTTGTCTCTAATTACTGAAATATGTTCTCTTACACAGGCATGGTATTTTTCTGAATGATTTGTTATCATATTTTTATACTTCTTTCCCCTCAAGGTCTCCAAAAAATGACCTAGTTGATAACAGTGTCTCTTGTGTTCAGCTTATTGTCTGATTTGAAAGGAGTGAGGAGCTTTGTCAAAGGTGTCAACGATGGCCAGCAGGGGGCACCAGAACATCCACCTGTGCAAATCCTGCTCTACTGTGTGGACCACATCACTTTTCCAAAAGTCAAGATCTCAGATAGCCAGCTTGAGTGGAGATTACAGCCAAATAGAATGGCTTGCTCCCGAAGATTTGTGAGTTCCATATTTTCTTCATGAATTCATCTAAAGTCTAGCGGACTTGTTGGCATTTTTGTCGTTCATGTCCCAAGCATGTCCCCCTGCTGACAATATCAGTTTTGAGAAAGAAGGGTCCAGGAAAGAAAAAGGCCAAGTAGATAACCCTGAATTTCCTAAAGCTGCTTTCACAGTCACTTTCTGGTTTTTTGGTAAGATTTATTTGTTTAGGCCGGCGCCACCGCTCACTAGGCTAATCCTCCACCTAGCGGCGCTGGCACACCGGGTTCTAGTCCCGGTCGGGGCGCCGGATTCTGTCCCGGTTGCCCCTCTTCCAGGCCAGCTCTCTGCTGTGGCCCGGGAGTGCAGTGGAGGATGGCCCAGGTGCTTGGGCCCTGCACCCCATGGGAGACCAGGAAAAGCACCTGGCTCCTGGCTCCTGCCATCGGATCAGCGCGGTGCGCCGGCCGCGGTGGCCATTGGAGGGTGAACCAACGGCAAAGGAAGACCTTTCTCTCTCTATCTCTCTCTCTCACTGTCCACTCTGCCTGTCAAAAAAAAAAAAGATTTATTTGTTCATTCAAAAGGCAGAGTTACCTAGAGAAGGGGAGAAAGATCTTCCATCTGCTGATTTACTCTTCAAATGGTCACAATGGCCAGGGCTGGGCCAGGCTGAAGCCAGGAGCTTCATCTGGGTATCCTACATATGTGAAGGGGCCTAAGTACTTAGGCCATCCTCTGCTGCTGTCCCTGGTAGATTATCAGGTTGTTGGAGCATAAGTGAAGCACCAGGTTTGAACCATTATCCATGTAGGATTTTGGTTTGCAGATGGGGTCTTAACCTGCTATACCACAACACCAATCCCCACTGTTAATTGACTGAGTGAGAATTGGCAAGATTGTTAATGTCACTGCAGTTCTCGGTGTGAGTGTGTGCAGGTATTTTATTCAAGACCCAAGTAGTGTTGATACTAAGAGATCCGTCATTTTGCCCTGTCATGTCTGGTTTGCTTTAGTAATAACCTCTCATTCTTTAATCAATTTTACTAAACAAGATATTGCATAAAATAGAGGATGGAGAGAGAGAAAGGGGGCATGGAGAAACCTGCTTGGTGATGAAACTGGTATTCTCCTGTAGCTTTGTGTGGAATGGGAACTTCAGCACAAGGTCACATAAACACAGGCAGGGAGGTGAATGGGCAATTAATTGTCAGCTGCACTACTTGTTTTCATGGCTTAGAAACTCATGCCATGGGGCTCACTGGGTTGCAGTCAGTTAAGAAGCCACTTGCGATGCCAGCATCCTGTATCAGAGTGCTTGTTTGAGTCCTCACTATCTCTCTTCTCATTGAGTTTCCTGCTAATGTGCTTGGGTAAGCAGCAGAAGGCGGCACAAATCCTGGGACCCCTACCACCCATGTGGGACACACAGATGGAGATCCTGGCTTCTGGTTTTGGTCTGACTCAGCCCTGGTTATAAGCTGTTTGGGCAGTGTACCAGTGGATGGAAGAACCTCCCTCTCCCTCTTTTCTCCCTCTCCCTCTCCTTGTCTCACCTTTCTTTGTCACTCTGCCTTTTAAATGAATAAATAAATCTGAAAAAGACCCTCATGCCTTGCTTAGTAAAAATGACAGATAGCTGACCTTTTTCTGTCACTGGTAAATGTTCTGTGGCACTTTATGGAACCTATGCATTTTATAGCTTCTTTAAGTCTCTCCTTTGCAACTGGCCTGTACCTTGATGGATTTTATGTATGGGCACCTAGCTGAATGTCCAACAAATATACCCTTCAATGCATGCTATATGATCCCCATATGGACACAGATGTATGCCACAGCAAAATGGTCCACCTTTGGGATCAGTGCTTTGAAGAGATGCTGTGGCAGGAGGCAGACTCCTGGCTGTTTGGGAAGGCCCTTCTTGTCATGGCTGTCTGGACAAGCTCTTAAGATCAAGGACCCTTGGCCACCACAGATACTTCTCAAGGGTAAAGAGGATCAAGGGCAGGACTTTCTAATGTGGCAGGGCCAGGGAAGCAGCCTGGTTGGATCTAGTGGGATTTTGGATGTATTATGAAGAAATGGTGTGGATTCAGTCTTCTATAAGGCTCTTGAGATAAGATTCTCCACATGCCAATATCTGGAGAAATAGGGAGTAGATACCTGTTAGTTGCTATTTGACTGGAGCATAGAATACTCTAACCAAATAGATACCTAATGCAGCTATATGTTTTAAGGGATCTTAGCAAGGTACTCTATGTGTATGCACACTGAGTCTTATGGAGCCATCCTGTGACCTTGCAAACTCATCCATACTGAAGACTGCTTTAACACTGACTAGAGTTTCCAGGCTGAGGCTCCCAGATTCCTTTTGCCCAGGCTTACATCCTCCTTCTATAATGCTAGCTCTTACTGTTCCAAAGGGAAGTAATAAGGTGGCTTCTCTGGGCCTTTGATTCCATGTTGGTCTGTATTCATGTGCCACCATAACAAAGTAGTACCAGAGATGGTAGCTTAAAAACAGAAACTGATTTTGCCTAGAAGTCCAAGATCAAGGTTTTAGCAGGGCTAGTTACTTCTGAGGGCTCTTGGAAAAAGGCCTGCACCAGGCCTCTCTCCTTGTCCTACAGTTGGCCATCTCCCTGTGTCTCCACACTGGCTTCCTACTCTGCAAATCTCTGAATCCAAACCTCATTCTTTAATAAGAACACTCATGTTACAATTGTGCTCACCTTAACTTATAAATAATTGCATTTGCAATGACTCTGTTTTCAATTACAGTGACATTCAGAGGCCTGGATGGTTAGGACATCAACATATGAATTTGCTGCTGGGCACAACTCAACCAGTGATGTTCCATGAAAGAAACTACCGAAAAGGAAAAAGACCAAAGCAAGATTTCTAAGTGGTGGGATTTAGAAAGAAGGGAAGAGATGTACCTTAGGACATTAGCTACAAGCTTGTAAGTTCTCTCTCTCTCTCTCTCACACACAAGGCTCTACCCCCAAGTCACACTGTTATACACCCCGGTGGGAAGTAGGCTAAAAGAGGGAGCCACTCGCTAGCTGGTGGTTTAAATATGACTCTGTTATAGGTGAGGATGCTCCCTGACCCCACTTATTTCTTAGAAAACAAGAATGTGAGCGTCATTCATCAAGCAAATATAGATAGGAGGCTGCTACATACCAAGTCCTTCTCCATCAAATATGCTGCCCTAATGGAACTTGCTTTCTAGTGGCAGAAGCCAGAAATAAGCAATAAACATAATAAACAAATGATAGATTCGTAAGTACAAAAAGAAGAGAGTGTATGGATTGTGCAGTTGTAGTTGGAGAAAGACCAACCTGAGGGGGTCAGATGTGAGCAAAAACTTGAAGGTGAGAGGGAGTTGGTCTTGGCCGGGGCATGGGAGGAGCCTTTGCCAGCTGCAACAGAGAGCAGCAGCTTCAGAAGGCCTCTGTGGCTAGAGGGAAGTGAGCAAGGAGGGGAGGTGCAGGAAAGGAGGTCAAAATGTGATGGGAGAAGGGTCATGTCGATCATTGTGGACTTGGCTTTAGCTGGGTGTGTTGGAGCAGGGTTTTGAGCTAAGCAGCAACATGTTGTGTGACATGCTTGCGAAGGCTCACCTTGGGTGGTCTGGAGGACAGACTCCAGATGGTGAGGGTGAAAGCAAGAAAACAGTGGAGAGGCAGTTACAGCATTGCAGAGGAGTGGTGCCATGGTTTGGTGCCAAATGGCAGCAGTGGAGGTGGTTCTTTGCTTGAACTGGTCATCCTTACCACAGTTTCTTACTTCCAAGGCATTGAACCAAAATTGCCTGAGTGCATCCTCCTTCATGAATGCTTTGTTCTGGCCCTCAACCAAGATCTGACTCATACTATCTAAAGTGAGTTACTGTGGTTTTCCCTTCTAGTCACTGCTGAAGAGCCATCTGTCCATTCCAAAGTTGAAGTTGTACCAGGGGTAGCATTCTTTTTACAATATTGCAGGAGTACTTAAGGGAATCCCATTTCATTCCTAACCTAAGATGAGGCAGTTGTAAGCTCCTGGGTTAACTCAATGATACTGTATTTTTGCTGTTATCAACCATTTTGTCACATAAAACTTTCTTGTAGGCACTATTCCTAATGCATGGCTCCTGAGCTATGGACAAGAAAGTTTCCATTGTGCACACGTGTGTTGTTGTAGCAGTGCTTGGTCTCCGCATTGTGTGAGATGTTTTGTTGGAACATCAAAAATTAGTCTTCTCACACCTATGCAAGTTCTATGATTCAGACTTCTAGTTCCTTTAATATGAGACTGGGCCAGCGCCACAGCTCACTAGGCTAATCCTCCGCCTTGCGGCGCCAGCACACCGGGTTCTAGTCCCATTCGGGGTGCCGGATTCTGTCCCGGTTGCCCCTCTTCCAGGCCAGCCCTCTGCTGTGGCCAGGGAGTGCAGTGGAGGATGGCCCAAGTGCTTGGGCCCTGCACCCCATGGGAGACCAGGAGAAGCAACTGGCTCCTGCCATCAGATCAGCGCGGTGCACCGGCCGCAGCGTGCTGGCCGGCCATTGGAGAGTGAACCAACGGCAAAGGAAGACCTTTCTCTCTGTCTCTCTCTCTCACTGTCCACTCTGCTGTCCACTCTGCCTGTCAAAAAAAAAAAAAAGAGTATGAGACTGGAGGGATTGCATGCTCTGTAAGATTCTAGCAGATGTTTATGTAGCATTGTGTGCCTGTATGCACTCAGGATTATTGTACATATTCAAATACTTCCTATAGGGGAAGGATGGGAACACGAGACAAGTTGATGTTCCCAGTTTAAAAATCTAGTGGTAGAGCTTGGAGATTTTTTAAAAAGCTATTTATTTATTTGAAAGAGTTATGGTGAGAGAGAGACACAGAGATATTCCATTGGTGGTTCACACCCCAAATGGCCAAAATGCCTGGGGTTGGGACAGGCTGAATCTAGGAGCCAGAAGCTCTGTACAGGTCTCTCAACTTTTGTTGAAGGGGCCCAAGCACTTGGGCCATCTTCCACTGCTTTTCTCAGGGCATTAGCGTGGAGTTGGATTGGAAGTTTTAGGAGCCCGGACACAAACCAGTGCCTATATGGAATGTTGGCATCAGATTTGGTGGCTTTACCCACTACACCAAAATGCTGGCACTGAGTTTGAAGAATTCTTGGGAGATCATGGTCCTGCTGGATTCTGGTAGTTATTGGAGGATTATTCTCACATGAGTTCACGTTCTTGCTGCTTGGAAGCTGAGGTCTGAGGACATGGTGTGGACAGGGCTGGGACCTTCTGAGGCCTTGCACCTCCACAGGTACATACTGGCTCTCACTGTGTCTCCACCTGCTCATCCCCTGTGTGTGTCTGTGTCAGAATGTCCTCTGCTTCTGGGACAGAAGCCACACCGCCTTAGGAATCACCCACGGCCTCACGTTGAGTGTCTCCAAGTGCAGTCACCTTCCGGGGTACTGGGGATTAGGAGACATGTCTCAGGGAGTGACAGTATGTGACTCTTGCTGTTTTATGGCTCAGATCATCCCACGTTGGCCTAGGCTTCCTCTGCATCAGCTCTGGTGCCCCTCCTCAGGCCCCCTTCAACTGTGGGCATTTTCTCTCTGGTCCCAGGCTGTTCCTGTCCCTTCTCTAGCCCTAACATCATCATTTCCCCAAAGAATCCTCACTGCTTCCATTGGATGGTGGGAGCTGCCTCCCTTGGGGCAAGTCTGTGATCTGGGGGTGCTGGCATCTGTGAGGGAGCAGAGGAGCGGGGCTTGAATTTTTTCTTCCCAAAGAAACCTTTTATTTAATGAATACAAATTTTGTAAGTACAACTTCAGGAATATTATGATTCTTACCCTCATACTTACTCTCCCACTCCCAACCCTCCTCTTCCTCCCTCTCCCATTCCCAGTCCCATTCTCAGTTAAGAAAAAAAGCCAATAAACTCTTCCTTGAATATGGCACAGGGGGCTGGCACTGTGGTGTAGCAGGTAAAACCACCACCTGCAGTTCCAGCATCCCCTATGGGTGCCAGTTCGAGTCCCAGCTGTTCCACTTCTGATCCAGCTCTCTGCTATGGCCTGGGAAAGCAGCAGAAGATGGTTTGGGTCCTTGGGTCCTTGCTTCCACGTGGGAGACCCAGAGGAAGCTCCTGGCTTAGGACTGGCACAGCTCTAGCCATTGTGGCCAATTGGGAAGTGAACCAGCAGATGGAAGACCTCGCTCTCTCTCTCTCTCTCTCCAGACTCCCCCTCTCCTTCTCTCTCTCTGTAACTCTGACTTTTAAGTAAATAAATAAGTCTTTTAAAAAAAGTGACACAGTATTAGAACCAAATTCTCAATATAAAAATCACAAGCAATTTGACCTTTGCCCCTAATATTGCTGTTCATTATCATAAACTATATGGATGGAAAGTAGCATTTCATTCACCTTTTAAATTAAATTCTTTTTCTCACCAGAGGCACTAAATACTGTTTCCTATGTCCATGGATCACTTGTATACCTACAAACACATACATATCCCAATTTAAAATTAAGTTCAGTGTTTTACTGTTTTGCACTGGCCCCAGAAGCCAGTGGAGTGGCAGCACCAGGTCGAGGCTGCCCCCTGCCTGTCACCTCCCTGCAACCATGTGCCTGAGCCCAGGGGATAGGGGCACATGTGGCCCATGGGTCGAGCCTCACCAGGGCCCAAGCCACCTGGAGACACAGCCCACTATCTCCTGAGCCCAGGGGAAAGCTGTGGGGCTGCCCTGCTGGGAGGGGGCGGCTGTGCTCCCTGGGGGGCGCCCTCCTTCCCACTTCCTGGCCCTCCTGCTGCCTAGTTCTGCTGAGTCCAGGCCGCAGGAGAAAGTGGTGCAAGAAGCACTGCCCGGCGTTGGGGCGTCCTCCATGGCCCGGAGGATGGAGTCTTGGCCAACCAGGAGTGAGAGCAAGGGCCGCCTCGGAGGGGGAGGGGCTTCTGGGCGGAGTCTGGAGGAAGAGGAAGGAATGTCCGGGAGCGGAAGGGGCGGGGCTTAGCCTGGTGCACATGCGCGGCAGTTGTTGGGCGACAGTTACTGTGAGCCGAGAGGTTGAAAACCGTGAAGCTCCTCCGTTGCATGGTGGCTAGACTGCCACATTTCTTCCTATTTTGCTGCAGAGGTGGCTGAAAGCCCCTGACAGCCTTGCTTATGGAGAAATTTTTCTCCTGGTCTGTTAGCAAGCTTGCGAGAAAGCGCGCTCGGACGGTTACGGAGTTCGAGAAAAAGCGCTTGAAGATGCGGCCGCATTTTGGATACCGCCTGCTCTACTGGGAGCTCGGTGCCATTCACAGAGCTGCCAGCGCGGGCAATGTGGCCGCAGTGGAGAAAATGCTGATTTGCAGAAGAAGCGGTGTAGATGACGTGGACCACAAGAGCAGGTACTGGAGGGTGGGCAGCAGGGCCCAGTGCGGGAAGCCCTCGCCCCAGGCTCCCCTGCTTGCTTCCCTGGACACCAGTCCATGTTTATGTACACAAGTCCAGATCCACGTTGTGATACACATGATCAAAAAGATAACAAGAAAATTTCCATAATCTCTCAACCCCTGGGTTAAAGTCTGAGTAAACCCAATACCCGTTTGATGTCAGTTCACACCTGCGTGTACATGGGATTGTAGAAGGAAACCTTGGCATGAGAGAACTCATGTTTACCAAAAAGTGAGCTTTAATTTTATCAGTCTTACATGCGCCAAACAAAAATATCAAAGTTTAAAAATTTCGAGTTACACATTCTACTTGTCATTTACTGCTCTGCTAACACTCATTTGTAATGTAGCAAATAATGAGGTGCTGTTTTTGATGTAAACGTGCTGTTTTTAGAAATTAATCAGGTTTCTGACAGTTGAAAGGGCAAATGCATTGGAAATCCAAAAACATAATATGAAACAAAGATTTAGAACTTGATACTGGTAACATTTAATATTCATAAGAAAACACGGTTTACTTATGCATGAAATACTTCTTAACGGAGGAAAACTAGATTTTTATAACACAAAGCTACATTTCTGGTAGAGTTAAAAGTTGTAAATAAACAATGTGAGAAAAATTTCAGAAGAAAACAAAAGATGTGAAGCAATAAATTTTTTAGTGGCCAAAGACTTGATGAAGACTGAAGTCGAAAGCAAACATCCTGGGGTGAACAGTTCAGCACAGTGGGTGAAGTCACTGCTTTTGGATGCTGGTGTCTCATAGCTGAGTACAGGTTGGAGTCCTGCCCACTTTGCTCCTGATCTGACCCCATAGCTTTTGCCAGGCCTGTCCTTGGCTGTTGTGGGCATTTGGGGAGTGAATCAGTTAACGGCAGCTCTTTGTACCTTTCCTCCTCTCTCTTTCACTCTGCCTTTTAAATAAGCAGTTTTTAAGGAATTACTCTGAATATTTGCTTAGGAAATAAAATAAAACTTCCTGTGTATCTGGATGAAAATAACAAAACAAAACAATATATCTTCAAAACATTTTTACAACAAGTATATTTCAGGTGAAAAAAATGGATCTTCATTTTACAGAAATCTGTGCAAAGCAGGAAAACAACACTGAACTTAATTTTAAATTTGGATATGTATGTGTTGTAGGTATACAAGTGATCCATGGACATAGAAAACAGTATTTAGTGTCTCTGGTGAGAAAAAGAATTTAATTTGAAAGATGAATGAATGCTACTTTCCATCCATATAGTTTATGATAATGAATAGCAATTTTAGGGGCAAAGGTCAAATTGCTTGTGACTTTTTATATTGAGAATTTGGTTCTAAGTACTATGTCACTTTTTTTAAAGACTTATTTATTTACTTGAAAGAGTTACAGAGAGAGAGGAGAGGGAGAGGGGGAGGGAGGGAGGTAGGGAGAGAGAGAGAGGTTTTCCATCTGCTGGTTCACTTCCCAATTGGCCACAATGGCTAGAGCTGTGCCAGTCCTAAAGCAGGAGCCAGGAGCTTCCTGTGGGTCTCCCACGTGGAAGCAGGGACCAACGAACCCAAACCATCTTCTGCTGCTTTCCCAGGCCATAGCAGAGAGCTGGATCAGAAGTACAGCTGGGACTCGAACTGGCACCCATAGGGGATGCTGGAACTGCAGGTGGTGGTTTTACCTGCTACACCACAGTGCCAGCCCCCTGTGTCATATTTGAAAAATGCATATGCCCTCCACCCTTCAATTTCATTCTATTTATTTATTTATTTTTTTGACAGGCAGAGTGGACAGTGAGAGAGAGAGAGACAGAGAGAAAGGTCTTCCTTTGCCGTTGGTTCACCCTCCAATGGCCGCCGCGGCCGGCGCGCTGCGGCCGGCGCACCGCGCTGATCCGATGGCAGGAGCCAGGAGCCAGGTGCTTTTCCTGGTCTCCCATGGGGTGCAGGGCCCAAGCACCTGGGCCATCCTCCACTGCACTGCCTGGCCACAGCAGAGGGCTGGCCTGGAAGAGGGGCAACCGGGACAGGATCCGGCGCCCCGACCGGGACTAGAACCCGGTGTGCCGGCGCCGCTAGGCGGAGGATTAGCCTAGTGAGCCGCGGCGCCAGCCCAATTTCATTCTTTTAAAATAACTTTCAGAAGTAGGCATGCCATTTGTTTCTCTTATTAGCGCTTAAAATGGGCATATGTTAAAAAGAACCTACATAATGGACCTATAAATTATGGCGCATTGATAGATTGCTTTGATAGGTGACCATTAAAGGTGGAGTGTCCCACAGATGCATGTGGAAATACAAATATGTAGGCAGTCTGTATAACAAGTGAGAAAAGTGTTTGTTTATACATACACACAAATTGTGGACTGTGTTAGCCAACAAAATGTGATTAAAATTGTTACTTATAGGTATTTGAATTCTTGTGAAATTTTCTTTATCTTGTCATTTCCAGAATGATTGGATGTAGACACTCTAGTTAAATTTTTAATATTATTGAGATTAAAGAATTACTTTGTTTTTAAACATGTTTGTAATGTTAGCTGTCTCTTCCAAACTATAGAACTTTCAGAAACTAATATTTAATGCCAATCATATGGCTGGAGTTGCCATAAATGTGTTTTTATAAGCTATTTTGCACTTATTGTTAGGCACCATGGATTGTGTGATCAATAGGTATCAATGAGCCATTTTTTCTGTTTTATAAAAACGCTTTATATAAAGATAACACACTTCATGTATTTCATATATACAATGTGAAGAACATAATGGTACTTCCCACCCTATCCTCCCTCCTTGCCTGAATCCCACCCTCTCTCCTACTTTCTTATTTTTCTTTTAATTTTTACAATGACCAAGTTTCACTTTACTTTGTAATCACAAGCTTAACCTTCCACTAAATAAAGAATTCAATAAGTAGTAAGTGGAAAAACAATGTTTTCTCAGGAGTATAGATAAGGGCTATATGCAATCAAATCTGAAAATGTCGATTTCACTCATCTGCGTATTTTGTACTCTGTATGTTAGTTACCACAAATCCAGGAAAATGTTTTAGTTGCTTGTTGGGACTGGTGTATTTCCCTAAGCTTAATGATCTCCAATTGCAAATTGTTGTGAAAGACAGGGTTTCATTTTTTATGGTTAAATAGTATTCCATCATGGTTACATAGCACACATTATGCGGTCATCAGTTTATGTACATCTGGGTTGATTCCATATCTTAGCTATTGTGAGTTGAGCTACTATAAACATTGGGTTACAGATAACTCTTACATATGCTTACTTTACTTCCTTTGGGTAAATTCTCTGGAGTGGAATAGCTGGGTCATATCGCAGACCTATTTTTAAATTTTTTTTCCTACTCTCTTCCATAATAGTTATGCTAATTTACGTTCCCATCAACAGTGTATTCGGGTACCTTTTCCCCACACTCTCATGAGCATTTTTTATGTTTTTTGATTTTTGGATGAACACAATTCTAACTAGGGTGAGTGTGGAATTCATTGGCATTTCCCTGATGCCTAGTGATCCTGAGCATTTTTTCATGTGTTTGTTGTCCATTTGTATTTCATGCTTTGAAAAATGTCTGTTAAATCTTCTGCCCACTTCTTAACTGTATTTTCTGTTTTGTTGTTGTTGAGTTTCTTGAACTTCGTGTGTATTTTGGATGTTATTCCTTTATCCAATGTATAGTTTGCAGTGTTTTCTCCCACTCTGTTGATTGCCTCTTTACTTTGTTGAGTGTTTTCTTCACTGTGGAGAAGCTTCTTATCTTGATTTAACTCCATTTGTCTTTTTTTGCCTTTATTCCCTGTGCTTCTGATGTCTAATCCAAGAAGTCCCTGACTATGCCAATGAATTATGGTGTTTCCCCTATGCTTTTTTCTAATCATTGTATGGTTCTGAGTCCTAGGTTTAGATCCCTGAACCATTGAGTTTTTTTTTTTTTGTGAAAGCTAAAAAGTATGGATCTTGTTTCCTACTTCCGCATGCAGAGATCGAATTTCCGCAGCACCAGTTGATGAAGAGACTGTCCTTTCCCCAGGGAGTGATTGTAGCACATTTGTCAAAGATCAGTTGATGGTAGATGCATAGATGAATTTCTAAGATCTCTAATCTCTTCCATTGGTCCAAATGTCTATATCACTTTATTCCAAAACCAGGATAAAAAGTTAACAACCAAGAAAGACAGCTATAGACCAGTGTCACTGATTAACACAGATAAAAATCCTTAACAAATTCTAGCTAATGGAATCCAACAACACATCTAATAAAATCCTTCACCCAGATGAAATGGGATTTATCCCTGATGTACACAGACATTTTGACATATACAGATTAATAAATCTGCTACATCAGCTTAAGAAATCAAAGAAAAAAACCATAGAACCATTGAATTATCTCAATAGATGCTAAGTTTTTAAATGCTGCCAATTACAGTGGGAAAAGTAATGAATTATGATAAGCAGCACTTCAATGTGAGAAATGATAAAGTGAGAGGCATTGAGCATATTCAGAGTCAGTGAATTATAATATTTTCTCTAATGCTTCAAGGATATATGGAAAGTCAGGATAATTATATTATCTTACTCAATTAAAGTGCTGTTTTTAAGTCGTGGTATTAGTATAAGCAGCACTTCAATGTGAGAAATGATAAAGTGAGAGGCATTGAGCATATTCAGAGTCAGTGAATTATAATATTTTCTCTAATGCTTCAAGGATATATGGAAAGTCAGGATAATTATATTATCTTACTCAATTAAAATGCTGTTTTTAAGTCGTGGTATTAGTAATGACTGCGTCTGACAATTACTGAGCTGTTAGTTGTGTCAGCAACCGTTCTAAATATTTTACATAGATTTTCATTGAAGCATCACAATGGTAAACTGAGACAACTACTCTTTTTCTCCCCATTCTTTTAATCAGGAAATTGAGATACTCAAAGTCCTAGTCATAACTTAAAATAGGATTTAACCAAGCTGTGGTTAATGTAATGATCATGTTATTTTTCTTTAATAGGCTTCTCTTTCATTAGTTTAGTGACAAGAAGAGATGATAAAGTTCTTTGTTCATCAGAAAAGTATTTGTTTTGAGGGCAGGGGAATATGCTATTTTATTCTTACGATTACATGAGAAATGGCCTGTTTTGTGATTGTGCAATCTAATTTCCTATAGGACCGCTCTGCACTGGGCCTGTGCAAAAGGCCACCAAGACGTGGTAGCTTTCCTCATAAGCCAAAGATGTCTACTTGATCCGCAAGATAAAAGGGCTGCAACACCGCTGATAAAGGTATTTAGTGCTCGACCATTCCAGTATAGGAAGGGCTTGGTTTATATACTTAGAATAAAAATGAATTTATCTTATTTATATATGACTAACTGGTGAAACCATTGGGATGGGGAGTTTTTCTTTGAATTTCTAGAAGTTACAATTTATGATTGGTGTATTACTGGCAGGCTGTACAGTGTCCCGCTGAGAACTGTGCTACACTCTTACTGGATCATGGGGCTGATCCAAATATTGAGGATGAAATTGGCAACACTGCTCTCCACTATGTGGCCTACGGAGAAAATATAAGAATGGCCGAAAAGCTGCTTTCCAGCAATGCAGATATCGAAAAGAAAAATAAGGTATGGATCATCTAACTTAATGTTTAGACTATTGGAAATACATTTTTAAAAGATTGACATGTATAGAAGCAGTTTCTCATATTTGGGAGTACCAGCTGCATCGAATGAAGATATTTTATGAAAACTGTCCCAGATTTAAGTTTAAATATTGATACCATTGCAGAAATACTGGAAAGGACAGACTGAGAGGCATTTATGGCCAGTATTTATGAAAGCACTGAATTTGTTAAAGGTCAGACATATTTTCAAGGATATTTTCCCAGTTACTTTTTTCTAAGCGGTGCAAAAACAGGAGAAGTCCAATTTTGTCTTGACAAAGGCTTTTGCTTAAAACTCAAGAAGAAAGCATGTTGTAGTAAACAGAAATATGGCTGTTGCTGTCCATTTCCTAAATAAGTTTATTTATATAAAAGTTACCTTAGAGTGTCAAGGGTTAACTGGGAAACTTTGCAAGAGAAAAGGATAGAAGAATGAAACATTTGTAAATTAGGTAATTGAGGGAAAATACGGAGATGGGATTTTTGATTTGTTTTTGTTGAGTTTTGTGTAGACCAAGTATTCTTTGATTGAAAGTATAATAACTTGTACTTTCATTAATATCATTAATAAGTTGTAAGTTTGCTTTGGGGAACCATATTTGGAGTGACTAGGTGGTGATGAATGTAGAAAACAAGAGGGAAGAACAAATGATTGACATTTTATTATGGTAGGAAGAGCTGCTGAGGAAAAGTGTCTAAACTCAGCTCTCAAATAGAGAATGTCTTTGTGGGAAAGTAGAAGAAAAGGATCCTACAAATAAATCTAAGTTGGACTTTGAGTTTACTGTTAGTTGATTTATTCCTACTCAAGAAAAATGAAATGGGATGTTCAGTGTGTGTGTCTCTTACTCATTCCTCGTTTTGGTCAAGTCTCCAAATGATGTGTGTGAGAGGAGAGATGGAAGTGGTGGTTGTCTGCTGCACCAGTTCTCGGCTGGAGTTGTATATCAGAATGACCTGGAAAAACTTACAAGTCTAGTTAGTCTCTCCAAGAGTATTTTATTTCAGTAAATCTTACTACGTCTTTACATGTATACTTAAAAACCTATCTCTGAGAGTCTGACAAAACCCTTGTTAAGAACCACCAAACTGTTAATTGTAATGTGTAAGTTCTTAGGTCTCAAAAACTATTAAGAATCTTGAGAAGAGTTAGAGTTTGATGGATGCTACATTCGAACAATACTAACCTCTGATTTTATCTGTCTTTCTTTTCCTTTGTAGTTATAAATTCAAAGAGATAATACTAATAATTCTCAGCCTACAGAATAACACTTACGGATAGTTTTACAAAGAAATGTATATTGCAAGCAGGGCTTTATGGTTAGAATTATAGCAAATTATGAACCTTTTTCCTCATTGAAGCTTTATGATACACAATCAAATCTTGTTGTGTTGAATTCATGGAGCGCTGACACATAATCACTATGGCAGACTTAAAATTGAAAGCCATGGTAGTGTTAAGAATATTTGGATGGACATTCTTTTAATAGTTCAGTTTCAACATTCCTGTATCTCAAATATCCATTTGACTAAAACCTGTCAGATTTAAATACAAATGGATGGTTATTTAACTGTTGGAAAATAGTATATTGGGTGTGCCCTGTTGACTACATAGTGGGCCTGATCTTTCTTTTTGTGAATTAGGTGATGCTAAGAAAAGTGAAGATATTACATGTTAATACCTGCTTTATACAAAATCATTTGGAAATGCATTGCCAGCTGATACAAAGACTCAAAGGAATCGACTGAACATGGTGCAGAGATGTGTGTAGTTTGCCTCTGTAAATTGTTTCAAAATACAAATTTGGGAGACTGATGCACACCTCTGACTGTCAGGATTATCTGAAGGATTCCAATCAGGGATCCTTGAGCTCAGATTACTGAGTTGTATGCTGTACAGAAGGTTTCCTATTTTTAAAGGGCAGATACCCTCCAGTTTGCTTCTCTCCCCACCTAGGGGAACACAGGATGCATGGCTTTGTTATATTTCTCAAACAGATGATCATGACATTTTTCTGTTGGTGGACAGTATATAATTTGTGCAAAAGTAAATGTTCTTGGAAATATGTATTGAGAAACACTATTTTTGAGACAATAATTTAGGTCATCAGTTGAATAAGAATGCTTGAAATATTAACTACTATGTCTTAGGGTTTAGGGCTACAGAGGTAAAACATGTAGCCCTTGCCTTCCAGAGGACCTTGTGTTTTTATTGTGTGCAATCAAATAATTGTAATATTCCATGGTGAGTGTTTTGATGGAAGCAGTGAACCCTGGAATGCAATTGTTTGGAGTGAGTCTTGGTGATGAGTAGGTTCCATGCAATGAGGCAATGGAGAGGAGAGTTTTAAGAGGAATGTGCAGCACATGTGGAAGCACAGGGTGGGAAGAAAGAGCCTCCTTTAATTTACCTTCTACATTTGATGTCCGAGTTTGCATTGTCATCTGAAATATGTTCAGTTCTGTTGAGAAATATGTAATAATGTGAATTGTGAATCATTTTTTACAGACTGGCCTCACACCACTGTTAGTGGCTATTCAACAAAACCAAGAAACTATGGTCAAATTTTTAATATTACAGAATGCAGATGTTTTTGCAGTTGATAATCTAAACAGGTAAATTATTTCATTCTATATTTTAAACTCAGTGATGTTTATCAGTTATACAGTGATTCAAGTCAGAAATATGAAATAAAATGTTAGTATATTATTGAGATACAATGAAAAGTAACAATAAAAATCTATCTGGTAGGAAAGCAATTATGCATACTGGCCAACACAAGGAGCTACATAGGAATGGTCATATTCTCTTATGATAGTGACTGATATATTTTAATAGTAATCTGATTTTTGGTTGTATAGTCTGATATTAATGAAAGGTTATTCATTTTAGTTTTACTGTTTTAATAAATATGAGTCACTATTGAGCTTCTTAAACATTCTGTAATATTTTTAAAATTTTTCCACCGACGGAGGGAAGACCTTTCTCTCTGTCTCTTTCTCACTGTCCAACTCTGTCAAATAAATAAATAAATAATCTTAAAGAAATCTTTTTTTCCTACGTACTCTACTTTTTTTTTTTTTTTGACAGGCAGAGTGGACAGTGAGAGAGAGAGACAGAGAGAAAGGTCTTCCTTTGCCGTTGGTTCACCCTCTAATGGCCACAGGCGCAAGGCGCTGATCCAAAGCCAGGAGCCAGGTGCTTCTCCTGGTCTCCCATGGGGTGCAGGGCCCAAGCACTTGGGCCATCCTCCACTGCACTCCCTGGCCACAGTAGAGAGCTGGCCTGGAAGAGGGGCAACCGGGACAGAATCTAGCGCCCACATACTCTACTTTTAAAAATGCTGTAGTATACATAAATAGGAATTGAAAATCATTTTGTCTTTTTGCTGACTTTTTTTTTGTTAATTTCTTTCTTCAAAGTATATTGATGTTAAGTTATACTTAAGCGACTGTAGGTGGTTATTAGCAGATAGTATGATTTTATCGTTTTTTTCATTCTGCTTTATTTTGATATTTGATATTTTTAAAAGCATGGTTTTTAAAAAATTCTATGAGAGAGAGATTAGAGAAACACACAGAGAGAGAATTAGAACTCTCTCACTTCAGTTTCACTGCTCAAATGCCTGCAACAGTTCAGGCTGGGCCAGATTGAAACTTGGAGCTAAGAATGCAATAAAGACTTTCATGTAGTTGCAGGAATCTAATTATCTAAGCTGAATATAACTAATGTCTTCCGGGGTCTGTATTAGTAGGAGGCTACACATAGAAGATGAATCTGGGAGTCAAACCAGGTAGTCTGATATGGGAAGGGGACTTCTTAATTGGTGTCATAATACCAAGATTAAATGCCTGATCCTTATAATTTTATTTGTAATTAGTATGGGAAGAGGGAAGAAATGTATTTACTTAGATAAGCTTTTCCTTTGATGATGACAAATAATAAATGAGAAAGAGAAAAGACATATAACACAAGGCTTAATTCTCAGATGTCCAACCTGTTGGGTGTGCAACCTTGGGAACATTAACTATTAAATCGAACCTGAAGTGAAAGTGGGATAGTAATGTATCCTGTCTTTCAGATGTAGTTGTATATAATGTCATATATAAAATGTAATTCAGTAGCTGACACGTGGTTGTCACCATTGCTAACTGAAACTGCTGTGACTATTATTGCCATATAATATAAGAGCTTTATGCTTTCAGATAGCTTTTACTTACCTGACTGGGATATATTTAATATTTAAAACTGGGGAAGTAAGAGTGAATTCTTCACTTAAAACTGCCTGGTTTAAACAAGTGATCTCAATGGTGTTACTATCCCTTAAAGACTTCAAATTAGTAACTTCTATGGAATACCCCAGTTAGACAAGAGGCTTTATTTTGTTTCTTTCTCTTTAAGCCTGGAGATAATTTCTGGAGATGAGCATTTGATATTCCAAGATGCTTATGTCCATTAATACAAGTAAATGATCACATATACATAGGCAAGATATTAACTTGGTAAAATAGAGCCACTCAGCTGTTTGAGTAGCCTCATTGAAGTTTTTAATGAAGTTCTCTTTCTGTTATTTTAGAACATCCCTCATGTTTGCGGGACGGTATAGTACGGAAAACATAGTACACATGCTTCTTGAACTAGGGGTTGATGTGCTTTCTGAAGACATTGCTGGACATTCTGCTAGGGATTATGCTCTTCAAAAACGTAATATGTAAGTGTTTACACTAACATTGTAATCAACATGAAGTTGAGGTGTAAGTACTTCATGTTTTCAGATGACTTAGCTCTCACAGTTTTTGGAATGGCAGTGAGTCCCTTTACTTCAACAGTCAGAAACTAAACAGAGGGGCAGGTGCTGTGATGTAGAGGGTAAAGCTGCCACCTGAAGTGTTGGCATCCCATATGGGCGCCAGTTTGATTCCTGGCTGCTCCACTTCCGATCCAGTTCTCTGCTATGGCCTGGGAAAGCAGTAGAAGATGGCCCAAGTCCTTGGGCCCCTGCACCCGCATGAGAATCCCAGAAGAAGCTCCTGGATCCTGGCTTCAAATCGGTGCAGCTCTGGCCATTGCAGCAACTGGGGAGTGAACTATCAGATGAAGCCCTCTCTTCCTCCTCCTCCCTCTCCCCCTCCCCCTCCCCCTCTTCCTCCTCCTCCCTCTCCCCCTCCCACCTCCTCCTCCTAGTGCTTCTCCTGTCTCTGTGTAACTCTGACTTTCAAGTAAAATAAATCTTTAAAACAAAAAGAAACCAAAGAGAAAGGTCGGCTAGTTAGAAGTACAGATGGGTACAAATTCTTTATCTCAGAGATTTGAAGGTCTTTATCCCTGCGACTGCCCACATTATCCATATCATTTCAAATACAACCCCTGCCATGACCCTCCAAACAGTGTCACACCTTCCTAGTTCTACTTAGTTGGTTAGGCCTTCAGTGTCCAGATTAGCAGGAAATTTCATATTTTGTCCTGGGAGCTGCCTCTTAAATTCTTTTTCTTGAGTTTTACAAGAAGCCAGGAAGTTCCATAAGCCTGACAAGGCAATCTTCCTTCATCAGAGAGATAAGGTTCTCAAGGCAATCTTCCTTCATCAGAGAGATGGGGTTCTAATAATTCTTATTTTTTATTGCTTCCTTTGTTACCAGGATTCTTTTACTGATCCAGATCCCCAGTCTTCGTGGTGATGTGCACTTATATCCTGAGATTAAAATGTCTATTTGTTGACTGACATATGCCTATATACTCAGTCACTGTCCACAAAGTATTAACACCCCACTCTGGCTTCCTAGGTTTTGGCATGTATGTAGCCAAAATAGGCTATTTATGAGAACCTCAGGTGGCATCTACTTCTTAGCCTTAAACCTTCATGACGTGTTCTTTATAAGGTTCTTGACTTTGCTAGTAGTTTCTACTTGGTACCATTCTGTTGTCAGACAAATTCAGATAATGTAGGAAAAGATGAGAGTTTATTTAATGTTTTGCACCAGATATGTACCCTAAGGCTTCTTTATAGTCTGGGCACATATGTTCTTGGTTTGTGGAATGTCCCATGTATGTTTCTGTGCTCCAGAGTATGTGTTGGACCTAAGGTGATTTGTTTGCTGTAATAGTGAAGATGGAAATCTAAATTATGTGCATTTTATATCAGATTTTCAAAGTAGTTTTAAATTCTGCCTCACAACAAGCCATTCTTGAGAATTCTCTGAATCTAAAGTATGTTATATGGATTTAAGTGAGCTAAGCCCCATGCATAACTTCTCAGAAACCATGTAATAAAGTGCAGTTTGATCTTCCAAGTTAGGTGGAGTTGAACAGGGACGTTAAGCATCATACTAGCAAATATCAACTGGTGCAGAGTTTGAATCCTTGAAAGGAATAGTAATAGTCTGCCCCAGTACTTGACAGCTCTTAGTTTTGTACCCTTAGTGTGAATGATCACATCAATTATGTTACCTAACTTAGTGAAGTGATATATTTACAAATGCATGTAGCTGCAATATGTTAAGTAGATGAGGTATCTATGGTTACAGCTGTATGGAGTAACTAATAGCCAGAATGAGAAACTAATGACATTTCCTGTAGCCTGAACAGTGAAAAAACACACTACAGGTTTTCTTTGGGATTCCAAAATAGTTTCAGTAGTAAATTTCAAGAACAAAGTATTCCATTGCTTGATTTCATTGAGCATTTATATATTTTATATATTAACGCATTAAATCATTAAATCTCTATAACTACTAGTGAAGACATAGGAAAATCCTTACTCTTTAGAAGAGTTTGAGGTTAAAACAAGTGACTTGCCCATACCTGTTGGCTACAGAGCTGAGTCTTCTGAGTTTATGATACCTTATTATGTCCTGCTAATTTTAGTTAATTTATTGAGTTATACCACCTTTAATTCAGGACTTCTTCACCTTACTGTTTTTCATCTTAACAATAAGTTTAAGAAAATTATATTGTAGAACATATAATTATGAAGTGCGTTGGCATAATGTAAGTTCTGGTACTAACTTTGAACTATCAGAAATATTCTAAGGATTTGATACATTTGATAGTTGTCCTTATCAATACTGAAACAATTTTATTCATTCTTATACATAGGCAAAATTACCAACTCATTTCGTTGTTTCGAGAAAATGCTGCACTTGAGAAGATTGTAAATACAAATCCAGGTAAAACTTCTCCAGCTAGTCCCAACATAGGAAAAAAAATATAACATAAGAAGTAGTTGATCACAGAAGAGCAGTTACAGATAAGTCAATGATTAATTATATGTGTGTTTTTCTTAATCTTTCTTAGGAATCAAGTATTTAGAAATTTTAGAGGTTTATTGTAGGATATTTATAATCTGAAGCACTATTATTTGAAGAAAATCACTAATTGTGGCCCTTTATCTCTTTGTGGCATTTGTGTAATTTAGAAAAAGATACATATCTGTATATGTGTGTGTGTGTGTGTGTATGTCTGTGTCTGAGAGGCATGGAGACTTACAGAACAAAGCTGCCATCTACCAATTTGTCCTCCAAATGCTCACAATGGCCTCGTTTGGATGGAAGCCATAGACAGGAGTCAGGAACTCCATCTAGGTCTTCCACGTGCTTGGGAGGAGCTTGATTACTTGAGCCTCACTGCCTCTGTGAGTTTGCACAGGCAGCAAACTGAAGTCAGAACATGGAGTTGGTAATCAAACTCAGCTACTCACACATGGTTACATGGCCAAGAACTTGGGACATCTATTGCTGATTTCCTAGACCCGTTAACAGGAAGCTGGATTGGAAGTGGAGCAGCCAAGACTTGGACTGGAAACCATGAGGGAGGCCAGCACTGTAGGCCGTGACTTTATCTGCTGTGACATAGCACTGGGACCCTACAATCTTTTATACTTATTCTATTAGTGATACAATTGTCTCTCAGTTGGATTACAGTCTTTGTATAGAGCATATGTTTTCCATATCATCTTAATTAATTGTATTATTCACTTTACATTGATAAATTCAAAGTAGCAGAAGTAAGGTTCCATAATGGCTATCAATGATGTAGTTAATAATCACTCTGCTATAACTTGTAAGTATGATCAAAAGCATCTTTTCTTTTAATTTTTATTTTCAGTTTATGTGAAATGTAGAGATGCAGAGCTATAGATAGCCAGTAGAGAGTGTTATTTCCTTCTCTGATAATTTCTCCCTAAATTCCGGCAATATCTGGGGCTGGGCCAGACAAAAGCAGGACTCAGATGGGTCACAAAGACCCAATTGCTTAAGCCATAACCTCCTGCCTCTCAGGGTACGCTGAGAGCTCAGTTTGAAAGCAAAGCTGAGACCCAAACCCAGGCACTCCAGTATGATGTGAGCATCTAAGAAGCATCATAACTTCTGTGTCAAACACCTGGCTCCAAAGCTGTAATTTTTAACAATGTACTATATATTATAACATTCTATATTATTCTATCATTGATTTAATTTAAAATGTATTACTTTTCTTTAATAGATGATGAGCATTCTAAAGAATATAGAAAAAGGTAGGGTTTAATGATTTTTAAAACCATTTGTTAACTAATGGAAAGCAAAGAAATGCATTATGTATTCTCCTCTGGGCTGGATGGATATTGTGTACTTAACATTTGTTGCTTGTCATAATTGTCCAACCAGTTTTCAATGTATGTGTTAATGTAGTTTATTTCCTACTATTTAGGCAACTATAGTGCTGAGGGGTTGATTGATTGGCCTATGAACCTGTAGTAAAATAATTAACTGACCCATATCAGCCTGCCTTACTCCCAAATGGATTCTCTTACCCTTTAGCATGGATGGATACAGACTTATACAATAGTGGCATCAAGATACAGGTCCAATTCAGATAAATTCTGAATTTACAATGGCTAATATATGGAATCAAACTAGATGCTCATCAACTGATGAATCAATAAAGAAATCCTGCCATATATATATATGTGTGTGTGTATATATATGTATATGAATATATATATATCTTCCATCCATGGTTCATCCCCAAATAGCTGCAATGGCTGGAGCTGAGCTAATCCAAAGCCAGGAATGAGGAGCTTCTTCCTGGCTCTCACATGAGTGCAGGGACCCAAGGACTTGGGCTATTTTCCGTTGCTTTCCCAGGCCATAAGCAGACAGTTGGAAAGAGTAGCTGCAACATGAGCCAGTGCCCAACGGGATGCTTGCACCACAGGTGGATTTTTAGAGTCACTGGGAAGAGTCCATATCAGATAAGACTGTAATGCTATATCATCTACTTCATGGTCCCCCACACTCAGAGGGGTAGGTAATCTAGTCTCCCTTGAGCACTAGGGGCCTGGAGGTGGATGATCTGCAAAGAACTTGGTCCAGGGCAGATGTCCTCTCATGCCCACCTCTTCTTTCCATTTTCTGATGTCTCTCCCTGGTATGTATTTGGTAAGAGGGGGATAGGATTAGCTGATAAACCCTACAGAGCTACGTGTGTCTTGCTGTGGCAAGATGACTGAGCCTCAATGTAGCTTGTTTTTTAGAAGAGGGAAGTAGTGCCTACAATTGTATGTTTGGGGCCGGTGCTGCAGGCTCACTAGGCTAATCCTCCGCCTTGCGGCGCTGGACACCCGGGTTCTAGTCCCGGTTGGGGTGCCGGATTCTGTCCCGGTTGCCCCTCTTCCAGGCCAGCTCTCTGCTGTGGCCAGGGAGTGCAGTGGAGGATGGCCCAAGTGCTTGGGCCCTGCACCCCATGGGAGACCAGGAGAAGCACCTGGCTCCTGCCATCGGATCAGCGCGGTGCGCCAGCCGCAGCGTGCCGGCCGCGGCGGCCATTGGAGGATGAACCAATGGCAAAGGAAGACCTTTCTCTCTGTCTCTCTCTCTCACTGTCCACTCTGCCTGTCAAAAATAAAAAAAATAATAAAAGAAAATAAAAAAATACAGTTGTATGTTTGAGTCCACTCTTTTCTCAGGGTTCTGTGCTTTGTAGGTTTAATACGTTAATGTTTGAAGTTGTATGTGTTTGTAAGCTTTTTGTTACTTACAGAAAAAATATCTGTTGGCTAACATACAGAGGAATAGGATTTATTTTGGCATAAAGTTTTGAGATTCACAGTCCAAGAACAGGTGGCAGCATGATGAGGATGTTGGTTGGTGGAATGAATACAAAGGGAGAATAACACGGTGCACCCAGCAGCAGAGAGAACAGTTGTATAGTTCACTGCTCTCATGAGAACTTCATTCACAATACAAGCCCCCGGTGACCTAAAGACCTCCTTTAGGCCCAACACCTAGACATCATAGTTGCATTGTTTCTACTTTTAATCCATTGACCATTACCATTTATCCATTAAATAAGACTTTGCAATCTAGCCACAAATACATGGGCCTTTTGTTGATATCTGAACTCTTATCCAAACCACATCACTGTGCTTGACACCAGAAGAGTTATTTGGGGTTAGGAGCTCATAGGAGGCAAGATATTTAGATACCATTAACAGAAACAAAAGTACAGGTACCATGACTCTTCTCAGCAGCATCTCCCTTCTAAGTACATAAGCACCTATAGTCTTACTGGTTTACGTTTACCTGAATGAGGAAACAGCAACACTTATTTGGGAAAATCACTGAACATCTTAATATTTCTGAGAAGGGCATTTCCAACAACAACCTACACATTTGTTCTGTGATGTATATATCTTTAGCTTTCAAATATTTCAGATGGTTCTAGGGATTCTTGGTATTATTTTAAGGTGCTGGAAACAACAGGCCTTTTAAAGTGATTTCTGTGCTGAAGAATTAAGATTGCATTTTGGCATGACACAGCCTGGTCTATAAACTGAAAGCAGGCAGTGTAAGATAAGTTATATACCTTTCTCGCTTACCATAGGTGACAGTGTTCATTGCCTTGAGGTAATGAAATGTATGGCAGCCACGGATGAAATTTGCATAAGCATCTTCAGGGTGAACAAGTTGTAAAGTTTCTGCTAGTATATTGATGTTCACAGATTTTTTATGGGATGTATTATCTTCACCAAATATTTCAGTGGGGTGAGAGTAGTGTAGGCAGAAATAGATGATGAAAAGTTTTTCTAAAACAAGAGTCAAATTTTCATTGTACCAAAAAATACCATTTAGCAGAAGTTTAGTTGATGTTTCCCCTGATTTTTTATAGAAAATATTTAACTATTTTTCTTATATATTTTTGTGCACAAGGCTTTTGGAAATACCTGATGTTAATCATGAACTGCTTATATCATATGAGAAAGGCCTCATTCATTTGCCAAGGTAAAATGCTCTATTATGGAATTAATTTTCTTGCTCCGAGTTTTTGTTGACTCTATGTCTACTCCCACTTTAACGTACTGCAGTAAGTGCCTTCCGTGGACATATTCTTCTTTTCCTAGGACAGTGCCTATGCTTTGATTTACAGAATAAATGTCTTAGTGAGTGAATGGGTGGTGGGACAACTGAGTGAACATGCTTGCTGAGGTTGTGTTTTTTTTTCCTATAGAAAGACTTAATTCCAGGACATACAACTGCCATCATTCACAGTGCACCAGAAGAGCAACCCAATAACGACAGAATAACTCGTGTTCATGGAGTCCATGAAGATAACAAATGTGGTAAGTGGATCAAAATTTCTTTTGTAAATTTAAAATTGAACATTTTTTAACATTTGATATATTATATATGTGCACTTATATACATTTTTCTCAAAAACAGTAATATTAATGTAAGAAAAATGTGGGATTCATCACAATGCTAACAGTGAGGAAAGAAGGATGTATTGATGAAATCCATTAAAGACAATATGATTATAGACCAAATAATACGGTATCCATGCACTTTTGTACTTTCTATAGCTTCCATATATAAAACATGTGAGATTTGGTTTTGTGTGACTGGCTTATTTCTCTAGGATAGTGATTTCCAGTTCCATCCAGTGTATGAAAACCTTCTATTTAAATGTTATTGTATGAAGTTTAATGTGAAGCCATAAATATGCTACCCAATGTATTTTATTGTTTTTTTTTTTTAATATCTTTCTTCATAGGACCAAATTCTTCTTCCTAAAACTTCGTCAACCCTTTGGAATTCTTTCTTGCTGTTACTTTTACATATTGTTGAATTACTCATGGAGATGTGTGTGTGTGTGTGTGTGTGTGTGTATTTATATTTGCTCTAATGAGGCTTTAATGTATGTACATTTACTGGAACATTTTGAGGAAGAAAAGCACAACAAGAAAATTTGCTTTTCTCAGGACTGAATCATAGAGTAAATCTATGGGGATAACCACATGATGGCATGGCATAGAAATAGTAGAACAGATCAATTTAATGACTAGAAAATCCAGAGTTAAATTAAAATATAAATTAGCATATTTTTTAAATTGATAAATGGAACTTTATTTCAGATGGTTCTAGGGATTCTTGGTATTATTTTAGGGTGCTGGAAACAACAGGCCTTTTAAAGTGATTTCTATGCTGAAGAATTAAGATTGCATTTTGGCATGACACAGCTTGGTCTATAAACTGAAAGCAGGCAGTGTAAGATAAGTTATATACCTTTCTACCTTACCGTAAGTGACAGTGTTCATTCCCTTAAGGTAACAAAATGTATGACAGCCACGGATGAGATTTGCATAAGCATCTTCAGGGTGAACAAGTTGTAAAGACCAGTTATTCTCAGTTTCTGCAAGTATATTGATGTTCATGAAAAGTGAATAGTGATAAGAAACAAATTTTAGTTCTTCCAATATACCACCAAGGGTATAATAAATAACCTGGAAAGAATATTTGTATAAGATATATTTCAACAAAGACACAGCTATTATCCAAACCGTTTAGAGAACTCTTAAAGCTAAATTTAAAAAATACCAAACAGGCTTAAAAATAGGAAAAATAGCGGAACAAACACCTTCCTATGGAAGATAAACAGATGGCAAGTGAACTGAAGAAGTGATTCTGAACATCATGAACTGCTAGGGATTTCAAAACAGTGACAACAGTGATTGCAGATAAGGAAATAGAGCAATAGGGATACTCATTCATTGCTCTTCCATATGCAAAATAGTATAGCCACTCTGGAAGATAATCTATGGCCATACACCCTGAATGCGCCTGATCCCATCTGTGTATGTGTATTTAGAATTCATAATAACGTTTATTATCAGATCTATGACTACCTCTTATAGAAATGGTGTTTACTTTAGGAGCAGAAGATGAAGCTAAAGAATCAACTTCAGACCCTGAGGTACTGTCTCTTGTTATGATATTTTAAATATAAGCACTAAGTGATGTTCAATCTAGAATGGAGTGCTTGTTTCTTCTGTCTTTTTAAAAACAGGCAGAAGACAGAGCCCTGAAGCTGTGCCCAGCAATTCAGCCGTATAGGCAGGGACCTGCTGTCTGCCCTGTAAAGCAGCCTGGCTCTGGCTGTGGGCAGGGGCAGGTGGCAGGTGGAATCTGGGGACTGCTGGTAGCATCAGGGGTACTTGCTGTCCCCAAGACAGAATAAGGGATAGCCGCAGTGTTGCTGCAACCACTTGGGTCTGGGGATTTGGAAAGAGGCAAAATGGAGTCTTTCTTTTTCTTTCTTTTTTTTTTTTTTTTTTTTGACAGGCAGAGTGGACAGTGAGAGAGAGAGACAGAGAGAAAGGTCTTCCTTTGCCATTGGTTCACCCTCCAATGGCCGCCGCGGCCGGCGTGCTGCGGCCGGCGCACCGCGCTGATCCGATGGCAGGAGCCAGGAGCCAGGTGCTTTTCCTGGTCCCCCATGGGGTGCAGGGCCCAAGGACTTGGGCCATCCTCCACTGCACTCCCTGGCCACAGCAGAGGGCTGGCCTGGAACAGGGGCAACCAGGACAGAATCCGGCGCCCCGACCGGGACTAGAACCCGGTGTGCCGGCGCCGCAAGGCAGAGCATTAGCCTAGTGAGCCGCGGCACTGGCAAAATGGAGTCTTTCTTAGGGCAAAGAAGGCCCTCAGACACAGTCAGCTTTCTAGGTAAATGAAACCGAGGACGGTGGAATTCTGTAGTTAGGGCCACTGCTCTGCCATAATGGTGGGAATCTTAGAGGCTTCTGCTTACTTTCCTCAGCGAGATAGAGTCCCCCTGGCCATAACACCAGCGTAGGAGCTACAGTATACTTTGTTCTTGCCTCTCTCTGTACTGGCTCTCTGAGCCTATTGCCATTTAGAGTTGTCCTTACTTCCTTACCAAAGATTTCCTTCAGTCAGTCTCTTAGACACCGGGTGTTTCCTTTGCTGTGCTGGTTCTTCCCAGCGGTGGAGGTGAGTGCAGGGCCTCTGTATGCAGCTTTTTTTCCTCTCTTCTCTCTCTCAGACCTCATCATACTAAGCATTAGAAATGAGCAAGCCTCACACCATGAGACAAGCCATAATCATGGTGATATTTATATTGTCACTTGTGGAAAACATAATGTGAAATGAATGTCACATTTTAGGAGCTAAACATGACTCCCTATTTATCTCTTTGTAGAGATTTTTATAACTTTGAAGATATTGCCTAGTTGGAAAAGAGTTGCATATGTACCTTACACATGTATTTGCTTACTGTTGTTTGAACATTACACAAAGGAAAGATTTCCTGACTACGTTGCCATTTGACTCAACCCATAGTAAAAGTTCTGAGAAAAAAAAATGGTTGGAGTACTCAGGTCCTAGCATTGGTGTGGCTGAGCCCTGGCCCTTACAGGCTTTTGGAGAGTGAATTAGCAAATGGCACCTCTGCAGGCCTACTTCTCTGTGCCACTCTATTTCATTTTCTCTTCTTCCTGCTTCCTTCTGTCTCCTTATTTTTTGTGAGAAACTGAGATAATTTTTAAAATACAAAAGGAATAGTCTGGCAGCTCAACCTGCTTAATCAGAGTACTGACTCTCAGGACTTTGTTTTGTGACATTTAAAGCAATCAAGGCTTTTGAAAAACAGTCCTCCTGTAGCCTCTTATATTTTTTCAACAGAACTATATTTTTAACAGATTTGAAAAATGCTTATTACCATAAAACTCCAGAAGCACATATTCTCACTATAGTAAGAAATGTATGTAATATTTCAATTTATAAATTAAAATTTTATTTTAAAATTCTTGAAACAAATGTAGAAATATGAAATTTTGTATGCTGCAAACGTATGTAGAAATATGTAATTGAAAAATTAAATCTCATAGGTTCTGCCTTTTATTTTCGTTTTCCAAATTTCAGAATTCAGTTTATGTTTACATTATTTGCTATATTATTTTAATGTTTTACAAATATTTATTTATATGTATTTTCTTATTATATGCTTTTTCTGAGTGATTTTGTCTATTCCCATTCTTTTGAAAATTTTTAGTGACTAAATATGACACATTTATGGGTCACAGTATTGTATTCAGTGCATTATATATATATGACATATACTTTGTCTACTCCCATTTCTTTTCAAAATCTTGAGTGACTAAATATGACACATTTAAGGGCCACAGTGTGGTATTTCAATACATGTATATTATGTGTACTGAGCAAAACAGGATGACTAAGATTTTCATTCCTTCGTGTTACTTTATGATTGCAGGTTTGAGGATTCTCTGTTTGCTCATGCAGTGTGTGTTAGGTTATTGTAAAACATAATTCCCTCACACTTGTTCTTGCCTCTCTCTGTACTGGCTCTCTGAGCCTATTGCACATTAAGTTGTCCTTACTTTCCTTACCAAAGATTTCCTTCAGTCAGTCTCTTACACGGGCGTTTGCCTTTGCTGGGCTGGTTCTTCCAGCGATGGAGGTGAGTGCAGTAGGAAGTCATTCCTTCAATGTAACTCTGGTTTCTTACCCCTATTTCAAATTTTCTCTATCCCCCTATAACCTCCCACCCTCTACTTTTTGTTTGTGTCAATGTTAGTTTTTTTTTTCCTTTGACACAATGTGGTTTCTAAGTTCTCTGTGTGCATCAAATCTCGTATTGCCTAACTGAAGACATTTTCGTACATTGTGTATTCCTGCCAGAGTGATCCCTTAAACATATTTGTAATCATGTAGTTCAACTGCTTATTGAGTAGATTTCCATTCCAGTAGGGGAGAATTCACATTCCAGCATGACCATTGGTTTGTCCTTAGGTCTTAAATCTGCCGTACATCACTAAACCCCATTCTACGAAGGACGTTCTCATTGTAGCTCCTATCTGGGGCTGCTAATTTGCCTTGTTTATTGCTATACAATATTTTGCCTCATCTGTGCTGGTATACAATGCCTTCATGTCTTACTTTTGATTTCATTTGATCTGCGTTTCAAAATGTAGCCCCAAATAAACAATATTTGCTGACCTTCCAAGATTAACTCGAGGATACACTTCTCTGCCTATTCTTCTACTATATATACTTCAACGATGCAAACAGTGATTTATACTTTTCTGTTCTATTTTCCCATGTCTACCATCTAACTGAATATGGGGGTAGAATCTGCTGTTTGTTTATATGCTTAGATTTTTCAAGGACTGGGCCTATGACTTGATACACATAGTAAATCCTGTCTCACTGAATGAGTAGCTGAGGTGTTGAGAAATTGGATATATGTGTGAATTTGTATTTATTGTTCTGTAGGGAAGGACGTCAACTATAGCGGGTAAGAAGAGTAAAAAATGTTTTTTCATCACTCAAGTGCTCCACAACAGCCATTAATAAACATGGGATGGACTCTGATCACACATTGGACAGATAACAACGTAGTGAGTGCATATCTATCAAACTTACTATTAAAATACAATGAAGAGAAATGAGTAGCTCTGAATTGGGTATCCATGTATGTTGAGGGTTTTCTTTGGCTTTTTTTAATATAACCAACTTCTTCCTGAAACAGCTTCAACCCTCTGAAATTCATCCTTACTATTCCTTTTATTTCATTGAAATATTCATTTCATTGCAATAGTCATGAATGGAGAGAGACACGCCTTTATGTAAATTGTTTCCATGTGATAAATGTTCTCACTAGTTGATCTGTTTACTGCATTTGTAGGTAAGGAGTCTACCACTCAAAGAGATCCTGAAGACAACAACTCACCAAGGAATTCGAAGGGTAGTGTGTCTTCTTGTGAGTTGGAAATACCTGATTTCAGTGATGTTAAAACAAAATGGTGTTGCTGAAGGTATAAAAGTGCTTGAGAGACAGCTACTTACCATAAGACAGGCAGATAAACATTTTCGCTATCTGAGAAGGGGTGGTGTGATATCTCTTGAGGCACTGATATGCATTTCCCTGGTGGTTGGTGATGTTGAACATACTGTCATATTGATTGCCATTTCTAATCTCTTATTTCGAGACAGGTCTGTTGAGGTGCTGTGTCCATTTCTGAGCTAGATTTGGTGTTTGTTCATATATTCTTGACGATATTTCTTATCTGGAGAGAGTGGGATACCTAGTACCTATGTAATACAAGCTTCCCCTTACTTATCCTGAAGCTACGTAAAGGAGAGGTTTTGAGGCTGTCTTGACATTCGCTTCAGCCAACTCTCTTGCCTTTAGAACCTAGGAAAGAAGAATTAGGAGCTAAACTCTTGGCCCGTGGTGAAGAAGTCAGATGAGCTATCTACCCTCACACCTCGGATGGCTTTCTGTCCTTATTTTGTACCCAATTCTAACTCTCGGCCAGAATCAAGCAGTATTTCCTGACCTTGCAAGACTGAATGAGGATTCTCTTTTTCTGCCTTTTCTTCAACTATATTGACTTCAGTGGCAGAAATAGTGGTTTATACTTTCCTGTTGTATTTTCCCATGTCTACCTCTAACTGAACATGGGGTAGAATCTGCTCTTTGTTTATATGCTTAGATTTTTCAAGGACTGGGCCTATGACTTGATACACATAGTAAATCCTGTCTCACTGAATGAGTAGCTGAGGGGTTGAGAAATTGGATATATGTGTTGAATTTGTATTTTATTGTTCTGTAGGCAGGAACGTCAGCTGTAGTGGGTAAGAAGAGTAAAAAACGTTTTTTCATCGCTCAAGTTGCTCCACAACAGCCAATTAATATATGAGATGGACTCTGATCATGCATTGGACAAAGTAACAAACGTAGTGAGTGCATATCTATCAAAACTTACTATTAAAAATACAATGAAGAGAAATGAGTAGCTCTGAATTGGTATCCATGTATGTTGAGGGTTTCTTTGGCTTTTTTTTAATATAACCAACTTCTTCCTGAAACAGCTTCAACCCTCTGAAATTCATCCTACGATTCCTTTTATTTCATTGAAATATTCATTTCATTGCCATATTCATGAATGGAGAGAGGACACGCCTTTATGTAAATTGGTTTCCATGTGAATAAATGTTCTCACTAGTTGATCTGTTACTGCATTTGTAGGTAAGGAGTCTACCTTCCAAAGAGATCCTGAAGACAACAACTCACCAGGAATTCGAAGGTAGTGTGTCTTCTTGTGAGTTGGAAATATCTGATTTCAGTGATGTTAAAACAAAATTGGTGTTTGCTTGAAGGTATAAAGTTACTTGAGAGACAGCTACTTACATAAGACAGGCAGATAAACATTTTCGCTATCTTGAGAAGGGGTGGTGTGATATCTCTTTGAGGCATTGATATGCATTTCCCTGGTGGTTGGTGATGTTGAACATACTGTCATATTGATTGCCATTTCTATCTCTTATTTCGAGACAGGTCTGTTGAGGTGTGTGTCCATTTCTGAGCTAGATTTGGTGTTGTTCATATATTCTTGACGATATTTCTTATCTGGGAGAGAGTGGGATACCTAGTACCTATGTAATACAAGCTTCCCCTTACTTATCTGAAGCTACGTAAAGGAGAGGTTTTGAGGCTGTCTTGACATTCGCTTCAGCCAACTCTCTTGCCTTTAGAACCTAGGAAAGAAGAATTAGGAGCTAAACTCTTGGCCCAGTGGTGAAGAAGTCAGATGAGCTATCTACCTCACACCTCGGATGGCTTTCTGTCCTTATTTTGTACCCAATTCTAACTCTCGGCCAGAAATCAAGCAGTATTTCCTGACCTTGCAAGACTGAATTGAGGCCGGTGCCGCAGCTCACTAGGCTAATCCTCCGCCTAGCGGCGCCGGCACACCGGGTTCTAGTCCCGGTTGGGCGCCGGATTCTGTCCCGGTTGCCCCTCTTCCAGGCCAGCCCTCTGCTGTGGCCAGGGAGTACAGTGGAGGATGGCCCAGGTGCTTGGGCCCTGCACCCCATGGAAGACCAGGAAAAGCACCTGGCTCCTGGCTCCTGCCATCGGATCAGCGCAGTGCGCCGGCCGCGGCGGCCATTGGAGGGTGAACCAACGGCAAAGGAAGACCTTTCTCTCTGTCTCTCTCTCCACTGTCCACTCTGCCTGTCAAAAAAAAAAAAAAAGACTGAATTGAGGATTCTCTTTTCTGCCTTTTCTTCAACTATATTGACTTCAGTGGCAGAAATAGTGGTTTTACTTTCCTGTTGTATTTTCCCATGTCTACCTCTAACTGAACATGGGTAGAATCTGTTCTTTGTTTATATGCTTAGATTTTTCAAGGACTGTTCCTGTGACATGACACACATAGTAAATCCTGTCTCACTGAATGAGTAGCTGAGGGGTTGAGAAATTGGATATATGTGTTGAATTTGTATTTTATTGTTCTGTAGGCAGGAACGTCAGCTGTAGTGGGTAAGAAGAGTAAAAACGTTTTTTCATCGCTCAAGTTGCTCCACAACAGCCAATTATGAACTCTGATCACGGATTGGACAAAGATAACAAACGTAGTGAGTGCATATCTATCAAAACTTACTATTAAAATACAATGAAGAGAAATGAGTAGCTCTGAATTGGATTCATTTATTTTGAGGGTATTCTTTGGCTTTTTTAATAACCAACTTCTTCCTGAAACAGCTTCAACCCTCTGAAATTCATCCTTACTATTCCTTTTATTTCATTGAAATATTCATTTCATTGCAATATTCATGAATGGAGAGACACGCCTTTATGTAAATTGTTTCCATGTGAATAAATGTTCTCACTAGTTGATCTGTTACTGCATTTGTAGGTAAGGAGTCTACCTCCCAAAGAGATCCTGAAGACAACAACTCACCAATTCGAAGGTAGTGTGTCTTCTTGTGATTTGCAAATATCTGATTTCAGTGATGTTAAAACAAAATTGGTGTTTGCTTGAAGGTATAAAGTTACTTGAGAGACAGCTACTTACATAAGACAGGCAGATAAACATTTTCGCTATCTTGAGAAGGGGTGGTGTGATATCTCTTTGAGGCACTGATATGCATTTCCCTGGTGGTTGGTGATGTTGAACATACTGTCATATTGATTGCCATTTCTATCTCTTATTTCGAGACAGGTCTGTTGAGGTGCTGTGTCCATTTCTGAGCTAGATTTGGTGTTTGTTCATATTCTTGACGATATTTCTTATCTGGGAGAGAGTGGGATACCTAGTACCTATGTAACACAAGCTTCCCCTTACTTATCTGAAGCTACGTAAAGGAGAGGTTTTGAGGCTGTCTTGACATTCACTTCAGCCAACTCTCTTGCCTTTAGAACCTAGGAAAGAAGAATTAGGAGCTAAACTCTTGGCCCAGTGGTGAAGAAGTCAGATGAGCTATCTACCTCACACCTCGGATGGCTTTCTGTCCTTATTTTGTACCCAATTCTAACTCTCGGCAGAAATCAAGCAGTATTTCCTGACCTTGCAAACTGAATTGAGGATTCTCTTTTCTGCCTTTTCTTCAACTGTATTGACTTCAGTGGCAGAAATAGTGGTTTATACTTTCCTGTTGTATTTTCCCATGTACCTCTAGCTAAACATGGGGTAGAATCTGCTCTTTGTTATATGCTTAGATTTTTCAAGGACTGGGCCTATGACTTGATACCCATAGTAAATCCTGTCTCACTGAATGAGTAGCTGAGGGGTTGAGAAATTGGATATATGTGTTGAATTTGTATTTTATTGTTCTGTAGGCAGGAACGTCAGCTGTAGCGGGTAAGAAGAGTAAAAAACGTTTTTTCATCGCTCAAGTTGCTCCACAACAGCCAATTATGAACTCTGATCACGGATTGGACAAAGATACAAACGTGGTGAGTGCATATCTATCAAAACTTACTATTAAAATACAATGAAGAGAAATGAGTAGCTCTGAATTGGATATTCATTTATTTTGAGGGTATTCTTTGGCTTTTTTTAATATAACCAACTTCTTCCTGAAACAGCTTCAACCCTCTGAAATTCATCCTTACTATTCCTTTTATTTCATTGAAATATTCATTTCATTGCAATATTCATGAGGGAGAGAGACACGCCTTTATGTAAATTGTTTCCATGTGAATAAATGTTCTCACTAGTTAATCTGTTACTGCATTTGTAGGTAAGGAGTCTACCTCCCAAAGAGATCCTGAAGACAACAACTCACCAAGGAATTCGAAGGTAGTGTGTCTTCTTGTGATTTGCAAATATCTGATTTCAGTGATGTTAAAACAAAATTGGTGTTTGCTTGAAGGTATAAAGTTACTTGAGAGACAGCTACTTACATAAGACAGGCAGATAAACATTTTCGCTATCTTGAGAAGGGGTGGTGTGATATCTCTTTGAGGCACTGATATGCATTTCCCTGGTGGTTGGTGATGTTGAACATACTGTCATATTGATTGCCATTTCTATCTCTTATTTCGAGACAGGTCTGTTGAGGTGCTGTGTCCATTTCTGAGCTAGATTTGGTGTTTGTTTATATTCTTGACGATATTTCTTATCTGGGAGAGAGTGGGATACCTAGTACCTATGTAATACAAGCTTCCCCTTACTCTGAAGCTACGTAAAGGAGAGGTTTTGAGGCTGTCTTGACATTGCTTCAGCCAACTCTCTTGCCTTTAGAACCTAGGAAAAAAGAATTAGGAGCTAAACTCTTGGCCCAGTGGTGAAGAAGTCAGATGAGCTATCTACCTCACACCTCGGATGGCTTTCTGTCCTTATTTTGTACCCAATTCTAACTCTCGGCCAGAAATCAAGCAGTATTTCCTGACCTTGCAAGACTGAATTGAGGATTCTTTTTTCTGCCTTTTCTTCAATTGTATTGACTTCAGTGGCAGAAATAGTGGTTTATACTTTCCTGTTGTATTTTCCCATGTCTACCTCTAGCTAAACATGGGGTAGAATCTGCTCTTTGTTATATGCTCAACTGAAAGAACGTGGGGGTAGAATCTGCTCTTTGTGTATATGCTTAACTGAGTATGGGGTAGAATCTGCTCTTTGTTTATATGCTCAACCTTTGCAAGGACTGTTCCTGTGACATGACACACATAGTAAATCCTGTCTCCCTGAATGAGTGGCTGAGGGGTTGAGAACTTGGGTGTATTTGTTGAATTTGTATTTTATCTTCCTGTAGGAAGGAATGTCAACCTTAGCGAGTAAGAAGGGCTTAAAAGATATCGCCATCACTCAAGTTGCTCCACAACAGCCAATTAATGAATATGCGTTCAACTATGATCGTGGATTGGACAATGGTAACATGGGTAGTGAGTGCCTATCCTTCGAAACTTAATATTAAAATACAATGAAGAGAAATGAGTAGCTCTAAATTGGATATCCATTTATTTTGAGGGTTTTCTTTGGCTTTTTTAATATAACCAACTTCTTCCTGAAACAGCTTCAACCCTCTGAAATTCATCCTTACTATTCCTTTTATTTCATTGAAATATTCGTTTCATTGCAATATTCATGAGTGGAGAGAGACACGCCTTTATGTAAATTGTTTCCATGTGAATAAATGTTCTCACTAGTTGATCTGTTACTGCATTTGTAGGTAAGGAGTCTACCTCCCAAAGAGATCCTGAAGACAACAACTCACCAAGGAATTCGAAGGTAGTGTGTCTTCTTGTGAGTTGGAAATATCTGATTTCAGTGATGTTAAAACAAAATTGGTGTTTGCTTGAAGGTATAAAGTTACTTGAGAGACAGCTACTTACATAAGACAGGCAGATAAACATTTTCGCTATCTTGAGAAGGGGTGGTGTGATATCTCTTTGAGGCATTGATATGCATTTCCCTGGTGGTTGGTGATGTTGAACATACTGTCACATTGATTGCCATTTCTATCTTATTTCGAGACAGGTCTGTTGAGGTGCTGTGTCCATTTCTGACTAGATTTGTTGTTTGTTCATATATTCTTGACGATATTTCTTATCTGGGAGAGAGTGGGATACCTAGTACCTATGTAATACAAGCTTCCCCTTACTTATCTGAAGCTACGTAAAGGAGAGGTTTTGAGGCTGTCTTGACATTTGCTTCAGCCAACTCTCTTGCCTTTACAACCTAGGAAAAAGAATTAGGAGCTAAACTCTTGGCCCAGTGGTGAAGAAGTCAGATGAGCTATCTACCTCACCTAGGATGGCTTCTGTCCTTTTCCTGTGCCTGATTCTAACTTTCAGCCAGGAGGCACCCTGTCAGGCTTCCATGGATTAATAATTCATTCTTTGCTACCCATTGGGAGAAATTGAGTCCCCAGCTCCTGATTTTACAAATGCTAGACTGGACTTTGCAGAAATATGAATAATGAAACCCTCTCTAGGATTCTGTCTGATCTCTCACTTTCGCTCTCCCTCTGATTCTGTCGTCTATGTTTATACTTCTGTTGATGTCTGTATCTATATCTGTGTCTATATGTCTATGTCTATGACTATTTCTATGGCTAGGTCTAGGTCTATGTCTGTGGATCTATAACCCCTCTCCCCTTTTCTTATTATGTACTTTTAGTTTTGAAGGCTCAAATGTAATTAACTAAAAAACAAGGAAACCAGATTGAACTTAATGCTGAATGGTTTTGGATATCTATCTGAAATCATCGTGGTACAGAAAAGGATTCTTCATTACTCTGGCATCTCCTTGGCACTTCTGACCTTGAAAATGTTTAGATGTATGTTTTACCATCTCCTATTTCAGTATCTCCAATAGATTGCATTGACATAAGTCTTTTCTGAAATTTACGACTGCATGTTACAGCAACATGACAGAACTACATAGAAAAAGAGTTACAGTTTAGATCCCTGATAAAATCATTGATAATTGTCATTTTCCATGAGAAACTCATGATAGTTTGCCCCTTTTTTTCACTTCCAAAATATCAGGATTTAGTCTATGATTACAAAAATTTGCTTATACAATTTTAGCTTATTGTATTCATTTATCTTTTAGACCAGCCATCATTTCCTAGAGTGTTTTTTTTTTTTTCTCCTGTACCGCAAGTCTTCTTCTAGATATGACTTCTAAGACTCCGGAGGCTCTCAAATCTGAGAAATGCTTCAGAGAATGCATTGCATGCATCTGAACATCCTGCCAGATTGGCCTTTCTAAATTATTCATGACTAGAGTATTGAGCCATGATTCTATGGAGTCTTGTACAGAAAAGTGTTCAGATTGTAGCATACCACATGCCAGTTGCAGCTTGACCCTGATTCTCTACAGTAACTCTATCCCAGTCCCAAGCAATGTGTTGTAATGTTACCTTCTTACTTTCTTACCCTCATGTCGTGTTGTTTTCTGTCTCATCATTCTGTTCCTGCAGCCTCTCTCAGAAGACCCTACACACAATCCCCCTGTACTTTGTGTACTTTAAATATACGGCTGTGGCCTTGTCCTGTTTTGTAAACTGTCACGGCTGAACTGAAGCTTCTGTAATTCCAGCTTCTTCTGTAACCTCTTCATTTATCATGTCAGTAGTAGAATCAGTGAATCTTAATTTCCTTTTCATTGTTTTCCTCTATATGTATATATACCCCAATGGAAGCCTAGAGTAGAATGCGCCTCTGTGTACATGCCTGTCTTCGTTAGGTGGTGCCTATGTTTTGATAGACACAGTAAATGTTTGTCTTAGTGAGTAGTTGAGTAATTGAATGTGTATGTGTGCTAAATTTGTGGTTCCTTGTTTTCTATAGGAGGAATCCTCTGCAGAACCTCTAAAGAGGGAAGAAGGTATTGCCCCACTTAACCAATTTCTAGGCATGCAAGTTAGTAGAGACTGATCCCCTGAGGTAGTAGAAGCGGTCCTTGAGTGTATGTATGTTCTTCTTTTTCAACGTTACTGCTAAATGAAACATCAACGTTGTGTTAAATGAAATCCTACATCCATTTTATTTTACCTTTGTTTTGGGAGTTTTGTTTGTTTTGCTTTAATATTTCTGACATTTTCCCTAAAACTGCTCAGTCCTCTAAAGCACCTTCTCAGTATTACCTTTGGCTTCTCCAGTTACTTATGAGTGGAGAGAGAGATGAATTGCGTGTGTCTGTACATTTCATAAATATTCTTCTTAGTCGATCGCTTACTACATTTTGTAGTTGCAGTGCCTATCTCCGGAATAAGTGATGAAGCTGTAGAATCACCGTGGGATTCTGAGGTACTTGTCCATGCAAGGTTTCAATGACATTAAGACATAAAAGGGTGTGTTTCTTCAGCCTTTTGAATGTTTTTATACATTTTTTTAGCTTTAAGATTCAACAGGTTCTTTTACATTTTGCCACAGTCACATCTTATGTATATATTACAGGTATACATGTATGCACTCTTTTTTGAAAATGGATAATAATGTTACCTAATGAGGTATTCATTGATCATTTTGTGAAGCAGAGGAAATATTGTTGTGTAATACAATAACTCAGTGTCACAATACTTCTACTATATATATCAGATCATATGATAGCCACACAACTTTGTGCTCTCTATAAATTTACTTTTACAAATAAATGAAAACGTAGTATTTGTGTTTCTGGGTGGCTTACTTCACTTAGAATAATGATCTCCAGTTCCATGTTTTGCTCCAAATATCAGTAATTCATAGTTTATGGCTGAGTGATAGTTCAGCATGTAACATTGTGCAGTCATTAGTTGATGGAGCTCAAAGGCTGACTTCATCCCTTTACTACTGTGACTTGTGCTCTTAACATGAGAATGCAGGTACCAGTCTCATATGCTGTTTGCTTTCTTTGGATGCATTCCCGAGTGTTGGAGAACTGGGTCACATGGTAGATCCATTTTTCGTTTTCTACAGAATCTCTGTGTTGTTTTCCGTAACGGCTATACCGATTTGTGTTCCTACCACTACTGAATTTGGCTACACCACTTCAGCAGCTTTTGTTATTCTTTGATTTTGGCTAACAGCTGTTCTTACTGGAGAGAAGTGATACCTCATTATGTTGTTTATTTGCTTTTCCCTGAGCATGTTTTCATGTGTCTGTTGACCATTTGTATTTCGTCCTTTGAATAATACCTGTTCTTTCCTGTACCTGTTTCTTCCTGAGATCGTTTGCTTTGTTGTTGTTAAGTTTCCTGAGCTCTTTATACCCTCTGAAAATGAGTTAATAGAATAGAAGATAAATTAGATGCACAGCTTCCTTTGATAGGCAGACTCTTCTTAGCTTGATTCAGTCCTGTCTGCCTGTTTGTGTTTTTAGCACCAGTGCTTTGAGAGTCTTATCCAAAAAGTATTTGCCTAGGCCAATGCCTCACAGCATTTCCTTAGGTTTTCCTGTAGTACCTTGATACCCTCAGGTATTAAGTTTAGTTCCTTGATCCATTTTGAATTGAGTTTTTGTATATGCTGAAAGCTGTGGGTCTTGTTTCAAGTCAGCCTTTACTGTAGCTTATTTTTTTTTACCTCAGTGGTAGAAGTGATGAATTATATGCTCCTATTCTTTGTTTTCCTATGTATCTGCTCCCACTTAGCATAGGGTAGAAAATACCTCTGTTTATATATTTATCTTTCTGGAGGAAATGTGCCTAGGAATTGACAAGCAGATTAAATTGTATCTTAGTGATGGAGCCACTGATTGTTTGCTGAGTTTCTGGATTGCTTGTTTTGCTTTAGTATTTATTAATTAGTTAATTAATTAATTTTTGGCATAGGAAGAAACATCAAGTGGAAAGGGTGAAGGTCGTGCTGCCACTGGAGGTGTCCCAGAAGGAGATATTCTGGATTATTTCCTGTCATGTAGTTGGGCAAGGATAGCCAAAGAGGTCAGTATATTTTAATGAATCACGGTATCATTGCTGCTGTTGAAACTGGGAAGTGTAGGTCCCATTATGACATTCATTTCCTTTTGCATTTTCTTTAGCTTTATGTATATGCTAAGTATCTCCCTATTACAATAGTTTCTACATTCTGCACTTTATTGCCACTACTGTCATTTTATTGCAATATTCCTGAATGGTGGTAGATTGTGGATTTACCTATAAACTTCATAGAAATACATGTTCTCATTCAAGGGGCTGTGATTAGGTTTTGTAAATCCAGTGGCTACCTCCAGATCAGAAGATGAATGTCTGGAATCCACTTCCAAATCTGCGCTATTGCCTTTTACTTTCTTGTGACTTTGAAATGTGAGCATTAATTGATGCTGAGATGTGTAAAGGTGTAGTTGCTCCTTTTTTGCCTTTTAAAAATTATTTCAAAGGCAGAGAGAAAGATAAGAAAGATGCGTGTGCAGACACACACAGACAGTATACCGGCCAGATGCCTGCCAGGCCTATTCCAGGTGAAAGGAGTCAGAAACTAAACCCAGGCCTCCCATGGGAGCCAGGGACACAACAGCTTAAGTCACTACCTATTTCTTCCTTGCATATGCCTCAGTAAGATGCGAGGGAGAGAAGCAGGAATCAATAAAGGAACCCTGAAATACTGTATGCTGTTGTCCCACTTAGCATCCGAGCCACTGTGGCAAGTGACTACAAAGAGGAAGGTTTGAGTTTCCTTTCTCACGCCTGCCCTGTATGATTTATTTCCATCATAAAGTTAGTAGTGCATTGTAAACAGTGCACTGCCACGTTAGAGAAGATCTACACATGTGTGTGACTCCGTTGGTGTAGTTAAACGTAGACAATAATAAAGTAGGCCTGAGAGAGATAAGGAATCAGTTTTGGTTTGGAAACTAGCTATATCTTGAAAATTAAAAGTTTATTTTAGCTCCACCAATGTGAATAACATTATTTTGTGATATCTAATGCCACCTGTTCATCTGAATGAGATTTTGAGAGAAATATTTGGACTGCCATTTCTATGTGCTTAGAATTCCAAATAAAAGCATAATGAATCAAAATGCCAATTAATCAGAAGTAATGGCATTTCAGCATGAGGTAAAACATGAGTAATCATTCATTTTTCTTTTGGGAAAATAAAGCCTGTTTAAATGGTGTCTTTAATAAACACAGGCTATCTTGGAAAATTTAATGAATTCAACATGTTTATGATAGATATGTAGTACTAGCATAACTATAAATATTCTTCTACATTGACCAAATGGTGAATGAGAAAGATGGAGCCCATTGCTGCCGAGCTCTGATTCCAGCATGCCATAGGCATTCATGGTTTGGTCTTGGATACATACTGCACCTGTCTCTCTCAGTTTCAATAATATGTTGGCCATTTTACTTCCTTACTTTATTAACCCTCATTTGCCATGTTTTGCCTCCTCCTTTTGTTCACACTGCTCTGTTTAGAAGGCCCATCATGCTTTGCCCCTGCATTTTCTCTGCCGTACTAAATGTGTTCCTAACCCTACAGACTTTGCTGAGTTTTCAAAGTCATGCTGAAGATTCTGTCATCCTACCCTCATTGTAATTTACTGACTGCGATAGTTGAAAATGAGGAATTCTGGTTTTCTGTTCTTTGTTCGACAGAGGTCAATTTGCCCCTAGTCTACAGGATAGAATCTGTCTTCTTTCCTTATATTTAGCTCATTGTTTGAGCGCGCCTATTGCTTCCCAAGCACAGCAAACGTCTTCCTGTTTGGCTGAGCACGTGAATGAATGTTTGCTGAATTTGTGGCATTATTTCTTTCTGTAGAGAAAAGCGTCAATGGCATCAAGTGGAGATACTGAAAAGGATGTGGCTGTCAGTCTAAGTGCCCAAGAGCATGCAAAGGACACATTATCTGGTATTGCTGGAGTGCCAGAAGACAAAACTATTGGTCAGTATCTATCAGTGAAACACTGTTTAAGTACTAATGTCTCAACTGAAATGATTTCCATTATTTTGATGATTTTTCTTTCGCTATTTGTTTATATGTCCAACTCAACCTGGTTTAAAGTGCTGATTGAACAAGCAGAAATTCTTTTTTTTTTTATGTTTTTATCAGAAAGAGATAGAGAGAGGGAGAGGTGGAGTCAGAGGCATAGAGGCAGAGTGTGTGTGTGTGAGAGAGAGAGAAAGAGGAGAGTGTGTGCAAGAGAGACAGAGAGAGAGAGAGAGGTCTTGCATCTGCTGGAGAGAGAGAGAGAGGTCTTGCATCTGCTGGTTCACTCCCCAAATGGCCACAATGGGCAGGACTGGGTCAGGCCAAAGCCAGGATCCAGAAGCGTCATCTGGGTCTCCCATGTGTGTGCAAGGGGCCAAAGACAGGCTATCTTGTATTGCTTACCCAGGTACATTAGCAGAGAGCTGGATCAGAAGTGGGGCCACTGGAACTTGCACCCATAGCCATATGGTATGCCATTGCTGAATTGCCGTGGCTTTACCTGCTATGCCACAGCACTGGCCCTCTAGCTGAAATTCTTTATTGCTGTTACTTTAATTTTATATATTATTGATGAACTCAGCTGAATGCGTAATTTTTAAAAGCAACAGTTGGGGCTGGCGATGGTGTAGTGGGTAAAGCCCCCGCCTGCAGTGCTGGCATCTCATATGGGCACTGGTTCAAGTGCCAGCTGTTCTACTTCCCATCCAGATATCTGCTATGGCCTGGGAAAGTAGAAGATGATGCAAGACCTTGGGCCACTGCACCCACTGCCCACATGCCCACATTGGAGACCCATAAGAAGCTCCTGGCTCCTGTTGCAGATTGGCATAGCTCTTGCTGTTGCAGCCAATAGGCAGTGAACCAGTGGATGGAAGACCTCTCTCTCTCTCTCTCTCTCTCTCTCTCTCGGTGTAACTCTTTCAAATAAATTAAAATATATTTAAAAAAAAAAGCAACGGTTGACAAATGTTCTCATGTACAACTCTGCCTATGTTTTATAGATATGCCTGGCTTCAGACCAGATGATGAGCCTTTAAAATACTCCTTAAAGTCTGAGGTACTGTCCCTTGTTTTCTTGTGACTTTTATATGTGAGTATTATATTAATCGATGGTAAAATATAGAAAAGAGTTCTTGTTTTTTCTGCCGCCATTTTTTTTTTTTTTTTTTTTCACCAGAAATCTTGCTTTTATTGGTTTGCGTTTTGGGAAAAACATTTTTAGAACACAAGGTGAAATCCAACAGGTGCAAAGAAATTCTTTCATACAGAAACCTTGAAATCAAGTGGGAAATCAGTAAAAAAACATAACTAAACACCGTGTATGTGAAAACTTTTGCATTTACTTACAGTAACAAGAATTAAAACCAGGAAATGCTTAAAGCCAAGTAATTATTTAAAAACTACATACCAAGCAAGTGGTAATTAGCTAAATGAGTTTGTGTAAGAAAAAAATTGCAAATCTAAATGCTTACATTAGAAAATAAAAATGTCTGAAAATTAATCAGAAACCTCTAACATGGAAAGGAAGAGTAAAACAACATAATAAATCAAAAAGAACTGGAAGAAAGGAAATAAAAAGTGAAACAAAAAGAACTAAAGAAACAGAATCATCACAAAATAATACAAATCTAGTATTGAATAAGAGGTAGAGGAATCAAACACTAATCCACTGGCAATACACAGGTAACTTCATCAAAACACTTTGGAGAGTGCTTTCTAGTATCTATCTATTTCATTTAAAAATATAAAAACTCTTAAACATAGCAATCCCCAGTAATCATAGGCTTAGATATATAGCCTATTAAAATGTATGTGATAATGTCGATTCTAACAATATGTGGAACAGGAAAAAAAAATCACAAAAATATCCATTCCAACAAAAAGAATGAAAAATCAATGTACTAGATCCACATCATGAAACATTACACATTACGAATGAATCCTTCATAAAAAAGAAAAAAAAAGAAAAAACCTCAGGAGTTGGTGTTGTGATGCAGAGGATCAGGTTGTGACCCATATTCCATATTAGAGGGACAGTTTTAGCCCTGGCACCTCCCCTTCTGATCCAACTTCCTGCTCTTGCATTCTGGAAGTCTGCCACCACTTTATCAAGAGAGATAGTAAAGACGTAAGTGAGGCAGACACCGAGAGATCACCTGCCAAATGTTTGTGACGCCGTGAACAGAGCCAGGCCAAATGCAGATGTCAGGAGTTTGAAACTCAACCCAGGTGTCCCTCATGGGTGTCTGGGGCCCAAGAGCTTGAGACATCATTGACTCCCTCCATGATTGCACGTTTTCAGGAAGCTGGGTTCCTGCACAGGGGTCGGTAATGGAACCCTGGAATTTTTCATATTGCATGCTGGTGTCCTGCACAGCATGAGCCATTGGGGGAGGGGACTACTGAGTACTGGGGTGGCTCTCTTTTTCATCTGTGTGCATACACTCTCTGATTTCTTTGTTTTCATCAAACAATTAGTAATGCATTATGTTGTAACCATTGTCCTGCTACTTTAGTAGTCTTCTACAGTTCTACTTGACATATTTAGTGTGACAATTGTAGCATAATTCAAAACACATAAATAGGACCTGGGTAATATAAAGAAGTAAATTTGCTCTGCAAATTATATTTATCAACAACAACAAAAAAACAGAATTGTTTTTAGAATGTAACACCAGACATCTGATTCCAGTATATCTATAGATGTCTTGTCATGCTGATGAGATTTTTAGATACCAAAATTGATGTGTTATTTCCACAACTTGCAAGTTGAAAACCTAATACCTGTGTTTCAGTGCATTCTTAACATCTTCGGAATAGCAGCTGAGATACGCAGGTAGTAACATTTAGAGCAAGGTATAACATGCGAAGTAGTAAATTTGCGGGAGGACAACCACTTTGGTGGTGTTTTCATAAATAGAGATAATTAGAATTGGATGAATTTGGACTATCCTTTTGGTAAATATGTACATACTAACATAAGTTAAAATGTTTTTTCTTACTGTGACAACAAGAGAGTGAGGTAGCTATGTTCAGAGCTCTTAGGTTTAAGCAGTATAGTGGTATCACTAACTTTATTTAAGTCATAGCACATATTAGTATGTTGCACTGTCACTTTTAGCTACAGTACGTTGGAAAGATGATATAGCCTTTTGGCATGCCATATACCACATTCATAAAATATGCCAGTATTTAATGCCCACGTAGGTGTAATGAGCATCTGTGGTAGCCAATGTAAAAAAAAAAACAAAAACAGTAAACTCTAAAATGCATAGAAGTTAAAGCAAAGATATCACTGAAGCATTCAGTGACTTGCTTTAGGATATGTGTGTTTTTTAAGCTGAGAGGCTTCTTTTGAGACAGGTCTGTTGAGGTGCTGTGTCCATTTCTGAGTTAGATTTGTTGTTTGTTCATATATTCTGACTATTTCTTATCTGGGAGAGAGTGGGATACCTAGTACCTATGTAATACAAGCTTCCCCTTACTTATCTGAAGCTACGTAAAGGAGAGGTTTTGAGGCTGTCTTGACATTCGCTTCAGCCAACTCTCTTGTCTTTAGAACCTAGGAAAAAAGAATTAGGAGCTAAACTCTTGGCCCAGTGGTGAAGAAGTCAGATGAGCTATCTACCTCACACCTCGGATGGCTTTCTTGTCCTCGTTTTGTACCCAATTCTAACTCTCTCGCCAGAAATCAAGCAGTATTTCCTGACCTTGCAAGACTGAATTGAGGATTCTTTTTTCTGCCTTTTCTTCAACTATATTGACTTCAGTGACAGAAATAGTGGTTTATACTTTCCTGTTGTATTTTCCCATGTCTACCTCTAGCGGAACATGGGGTAGAATCTGCTCTTGTGTATATGCTTAGATTTTTCAAGGACTGGGCCTTTGACTTGGATACCCATAGTAAATCCTGTCTCACTGAATGAGTAGCTGAGGGGTTGAGAAATTGGATATATGTGTTGAATTTGTATTTTATTGTTCTGTAGGCAGGAACGTCAGCTGTAGCGGGTAAGAAGAGTAAAAAACGTTTTTTCATCACTCAAGTTGATCCACACCAGCTAATTATGACTCTGATCACGGATTGGACAAAGATAACAAACGTAGTGAGTGCATATCTATCAAAACTTACTATTAAATACAATGAAGAGAAATGAGTAGCTCTGAATTGGATATCCATGTATGTTGAGGGTTTTCTTTGGCTTTTTTTAATATAACCAACTTCTTCCTGAAACAGCTTCAACCCTCTGAAATTCATCCTTACTGTTCCTTTTATTTCATTGAAATATTCATTTCATTGCAATATTCATGAGTGGAGAGAGACATGCCTTTATGTAAATTGTTTCCATGTGAATAAATGTTCTCACTAGTTGATCTGTTACTGCATTTGTAGGTAAGGAGTCTACCTCCCAAAGTGATCCTGAAGACAACAACTCACCAAGGAATTCGAAGGTAGTGTGTCTTCTTGTGATTTGGAAATACCTGATTTCAGTGATGTTAAAACAAAATTGGTGTTTGCTTGAAGGTATAAAGTTACTTGAGAGACAGCTACTTACTAAGACAGGCAGATAAACATTTTCGCTATCTTGAGAAGGGGTGGTGTGATATCTCTTTGAGGCATTGATATGCATTTCCCTGGTGGATGGTGATGTTGAACATACTGTCATATTTATTGCCATTTCTATCTATTATTTTGAGACAGGTCTGTTGAGGTGCTGTGTCCATTTCTGAGTTAGATTTGTTGTTTGTTCATATATTCTGACGATATTTCTTATCTGGGAGAGAGTGGGATACCTAGTACCCATGTAATACAAGCTTCCCCTTACTTATCTGAAGCTACGTAAAGGAGAGGTTTTGAGGCTGTCTTGACATTCGCTTCAGCCAACTCTCTTGCCTTTAGAACCTAGGAAAGAAGAATTAGGAGCTAAACTCTTGGCCCAGTGGTGAAGAAGTCAGATGAGCTATCTACCTCACACCTCGGATGGCTTTCTGTCCTTATTTTGTACCCAATTCTAACTCTCTGCCAGAAATCAAGCAGTATTTCCTGACCTTGCAAGACTGAATTGAGGATTCTCTTTTCTGCCTTTTCTTCAACTATATTGACTTCAGTGACAGAAATAGTGGTTTATACTTTCCTGTTGTATTTTCCCATGTCTACCTCTAGCTGAACATGGGGTAGAATCTGCTCTTTGTGTATATGCTTAGATTTTTCAAGGACTGGGCCTATGACTTGATACCCATAGTAAATCCTGTCTCACTGAATGAGTAGCTGAGGGGTTGAGAAATTGGATATATGTGTTGAATTTGTATTTTATTGTTCTGTAGGAAGGAACGTCAGCTCTAGTGGGTAAGAAGAGTAAAAAATGTTTTTTCATCACTCAAGTTGATCCACAACAGCCAATTAATAAATATGGGCTGGACTCTGATCACGCATTGGACAAAGATAACAAACGTGGTGAGTGCATATCTATCAAAACTTACTATTGAAATACAATGAAGAGAAATGAGTAGCTCTGAATTGGATATCCATGTATGTTGAGGGTTTTCTTTTGGTTTGTTTATAACCAACTTCTTCCTGAAACAGCTTCAACCTCTGAAATTCATCCTTACTATTGTTTTATTTCATTGAAATATTCATTTAATTGCAATATTCATGAGTGGAGAGAGACACGCCTTTATTTAAATTATTTCCATGTGAATAAATGTTCTCACTAGTTGATCTATTACTGCATTTGTAGGTAAGGAGTCTACCTTCCAAAGAGATCCTGAAGACAGCAACTCACCAAGGAATTCGAAGGTAGTGTGTCTTCTTGTGATTTGGAAATACCTGATTTCAGTCTTGTTAAAACAAAATTGGTGTTTGCTTGAAGCCAGGGCAGCTAGTTTTAAAATCATTTAATATTATCATCTGTTTGAAGAAGCTGTGAAGACAAATAGACTTCACAATTACAATGATAACTATGGTATCCATATCTTCTGGAGTCTCTCTATATCTTTTTAGTGTTTTATTAGGCTCCATAGAGCTCATGGAATTCTAAGAGTATAATGATGTGCCTTTGTCCTCCATCCCTCTCCTTCTGTGCCTCCCACCCTGCTTCCTCTCACTTTACCCCTTCTCTGCTTTACTTTGAGTTTATGTCCTTGATCTACATTACATTCCATGGCTCCTGTAAATACTTGGTTCTTCAAGTAAAAAGCAAAAAAATGCCTAGTAAAGTAGGAATATAGACAAGGCCAAAGACAATAATGAAATGGAAAAAGGACTATTTCACTTATCTGCAATAAATTTCAAAGTAATCCCAGATCATTGAATCTATAGTAGCATAATATTCTTAACCACGAGCTTGACAAAGGTATAAAACAAAGCTTATCAAGACGACATTTGCAACAGTATCGAAACACACAAGCATTTCTGCCTTATTTGCCTTTTCATCTTCATTTTCGATTTAAGCTGCCTCTTTTAAGGGAAACATGAGATACTTGTTTTTCTGCGTCCAGCTTCTTTTCCCCCACATCATGCCCTCCAGTTGCATTCATTTTGCTGCAAATGGCAGAAGTTCATTCTTTCAAATGACTGAATACTATTACATTGGATACCTGTGCTGCACTTTTTCTGTTCATTCATCTTTAGAAGTGCGCTTTGATTCCTCTTTTTGCTTTTATGAACAGTGCAGCTATAATATGGTGGTGCACAGATATCCTCAATACAGTGCTTTCCTGTCTTTAGGTGTATAAGCAGAAGTGGGATTGCTAGATCATATGGCATTTTTTAAACTTTTATTTAGTAAATATAAATTTCCAAAGTACAGTTTATGGATTACAAGGGCTTCCCCCCCCCCAATAACTTCCCTCCCACCTGCAACCCTCCCATCTCCTGCTTTCTCTCCCATTCCATTCACGTCAAGATTGATTTTCAATTATCTTTATATACAGAAGATTGATTTAGTATATATTAAGTAAAGATTTCATCATTTTGATTTAGCTGTGTTTTGATAAACATAAGACATTTTAAATGTAAAATACTGAGTAACTTCATGCTAGCAATATTCATAACCACATAAGTATTAATAATGGTGATGTTCATAGTGGCAACTGGAAATGAGATAGGATTTGCTTTCTGACTTGAGCAGGTTGCTTCATACTGATTTCTGTGACTTCACTGAAGTCCTAAGACTTGTTAACATGCTGGCCTTTCCCTGGTAATGGAGTCTTGTGAAAAGTGATATAAGTTCATTTGATCCCGGTGGCCACACCTGAATGATTGATATCTAACTTTTAGGCAGTACAATAAAATAACGTGGCAAGAAATAAGCAAACATGATGCAAACAGTGAAATACATACAGAATGAAGAAAAAAGCATCCAGTGATGTCAGTTACTTATGTTTGCAAGTAGACTTTTTAAAATCTGAAGTCCAGTGTGACTCAGTGGCAGTGTCATGAAAAAACTGAGAAATTTGATTTGGCATGAAATGTTTAGTCTTATTACTGCATCATTACTATAATTTCCTATGTTAATATAGTGACGGGGCCCTTCAGGCCTTTCTGGAGATATTTTGAATGTTTTAAAATGAATAATTATTTTTGTTTTGTGCCTAATATAAGCTTGAATTTTAGACAGTGAATATATTAAAAGGGGCTACTTCTGTCATGGTTAGAATGTCATAGCAAGCAGCAATCCACGATAATTTGTTATCCACCCTTCATATAAATCTAGCAGAGAATGTGGGGCTGCAAAATATTCAGGGGATTTTCCATAAGGTTAAAGGTGGAACGTGGGGTAGAATTCTGTATTCAGAGATTTTTTTTCTTTGGAATGTGACTATGCCACTGCCAAGTAAAGGAAGAGTTGGGGCCATCCCTGTGAATGTGCAGGAGGAGGTCATCCTGAATAGAGAAGAACCTAAAGCACAGAAGAGTATGGTTCTTGATTCTCTGGTCTTTTAAACATTTATTTGAGAAACCAAGAGGCAGAGAGAGATGAAAGGCAAACCCACAGAGCTATCACATACAAATTTACTCTCCAAATCTCTGGTATGATTGGGACAAGACCCAACCAAAGCCAGTAGCTAAGTTCTCAAAACTCCATCCAGGTCTCCCTGTCAGGGGCCTAACTGCTTGAGACATCACCTCATGCCTTTCTAAGTCTGTATTAGCTGGAAATTTTTAATGAGATTCATTCTATTATTTGAAAGGCAGAATGACAGATAAAGATGGAGAGATGGAGGGATGAAAGAATTGAGCGACAAAGAGTTTCTTCCATCCACTAATTGACTCCCCAAATGGCTACAGCAGCTAGGGCTGGGCCAGGCTGAAGCCAGGAGCCCAAAGCTCTAGCCAAGTCTCAAATTTTGGTGACAGTAGACCAAATACTTGTGCCATTCTTCTGCTGCTTTCCCCAGTTGCATGGGCAGGAGGTGGATTAGGAGAATAACAGTTGGGGCTCAACTGACATTCCAGTATGGAACTATGAGATGCTGCATTGCCAGTGGCAGATTCACGTATTGCACCACACACCAGCCACAGCAGGATTTTTAAGGTTTACTTATTTGTTTCCAAGTCATAGATACAGAGAAAGGGAGATACAGTGAGAAAGACTACTTCCTTTCACTGGCACACTCAACAAGTGGTCACAATGTCAGGGCTAAGCCAGGCCAAAGAAAGGAGCTTCATCTGGTTCTCCTAGGTAGGTGGCAGGGGCCCAAACATAAAGGCCTTCTTCCATTACTTTTCAAAGGCCATTTGCAGGGCACTGGATCAGAAGTCTAACAGCATAATTATGAACTGAGGCCCACCTGGGGTGCCAACATAGCAGTCAGCAGCTTTACCCACTTTGCCACAATTTTGGCCTTCCCAACAGGATTTTTAATACCATATCCAAAACCAGAAATGGAATCCAGGCACTGACATAGTGTATTCAGGTGCTCTATTAGTGTCTGAGACACTATGACAAATAGCTGCGAATGGTGTGACTTGATGTCTCTTTCTCACCTCTGTGTGTTCCTATTAGAATTATTTCCTTACATTTTCATCATGTGATGAGTATTTTCCTGATGCACTAGTGCACTGTGACAATTCTCTACATGACTAATTTAATGCAGCCAGTACAGTACAGTTCAAAACATAAGGCCTAATTAACACAAGTAATTAGGAATTAGTTTCCAAAATTTAGCTAAAATGTATGTTTTATCACAGTGCAATTTATGCCAAATGTCTGGTTCTATGGTAGCTACAAGGATGACTAATCATCCTAATGTGCTTTGAAAAGGAACTGTTTTATCTGTGGGTTTTCACAGTTTGGAACTCACAAATCAATACCTGACACTTCAAATCATCATTATTTTTTTTTTGACAGGCAGAGTGGACAGTGAGAGAGAGACAGAGAGAAAGGTCTTCTTTTGCCGTTGGTTCACCCTCCAGTGGCCGGCGTGGCCAGCGCGCTGTTGCTGGCACATTGCGCTGATCCGAAGCCAGGAGCCAGGCGCTTTTCCTGGTCTCCCATGCGGGTGCAGGGCCCAAGGACTTGGGCCATCCTCCACTGCACTCCCGGGCCATAGCAGAGAGCTGGCCTGGAAGAGGGGCAACCGGGACAGAATCCGGCGCCCCGACCGGGACTAGAACCCGGAGTGCCGGCGCTGCAGGTGGAGGATTATCCTATTGAGCCATGTCACCGGCCCTCAAATCATCATTATTATATTTGTATTGTCAATTGTCAATCTTTAAAGAATATTTCAGTGAAGGGGAAACGTGGAGAATATAAAAATGTTAGATTATAGCAATAAGATTTTGGATAAGTGGGGGCCTTTAAATAAAAACCATTTTGAACTGAAATTGATCACTTGGACTAGTGAGATGGCATTGGTACATACCACCTTGATGGGATTGTATTGGGATCCCCTGGCATGATTTAACTCCACCATTTGGGCAAGTCAGATTGAGCATGTCCCAAATTGTACATCTCCTCCCTCTCTTATTCCCACTCTTATATTTAACGGGGATCACTTTCCAGTTAAAATTTAAACACCTAAGAATAATTGTGTGTTAATCACAGAGTTCAACCAATGGTACTAGAACAAAACAAAGAGAAAATACTAAAATGATAAAGTATTACATTGTACATCAACGTCAGGACAAGAGCTGATCAAGTCACTGTTTCTCATAGTGTCCCATTTCACTTCAACAGGTTTCCCCTTTGGTGCTCAGTTAGTTGTCGCCGATCAGGGAGAACATATGATATTTGTCTCTTTGGGACTGGCTTAATTCACTCAGCATGATGTTTTCCAGATTCCTCCGTCTTGTTGCAAATGACCAGATTTCGTTGTTTTTGACTGCTGTATAGTATTCTATAGAGTACATGTCCCATAATTTCTTATCCAGTCTACTGTTGATGGGCATTTGGGTTGGTTCCAGGTTTTAGCTATTGTGAATTGAGCTGCAATAAACATTATGTGCAGACAGCTTTTTTGTTTGCCAATTTAATTTCCTTTGGGTAAATTCCAAGGAGTGGGATGGCTGGGTTGAATGGTAGGGTTATATTCAGGTCTAAGAGTCAAAGGGATCACACAAACAAGACTAGTGTCTGCTAATACTAACTGATAGAATCAAAAAGGGAGAGAATGATCCATCATGGGAAGCGGGATACACAGCAGACTCACAGAATGGCAGATGTCCTAAACAGCACTCTGGCCTCAGAATCAGCCCTTAAGGCATTCAGATCTGGCTGAAGAGCCCATGAGAGTATTTTAGGCATGAAAGCCAAACACCCTGGAAAAAAAAAAAAGAGAAGACCTAAATGGAAGATCTCTGCGAGTGAGATCCCAGTGGAAAGAACAGGGCCATCAAAGAAGGAGAACTTCCACTTTGACTATGACCCTGTTGGAATAAGATTGAAGTTGGCGAACTCAAAAGGCTTCCATAGCCTTGGCAACTCATGACTAGAGCCTAGGGAGATTACTGACGCCATAAAGAGTGTCAAATTGTTAAGTCAACAACAGGAGTCACTGTTGTACTTACTTCTCATGTGGGATCTGTCCTTAGTGTGTTGTCCAATGTGAAGTAATGCTATAACTAGTACTGAAACAGTATTTTACACTTTGTGTTTCTGTGTGGGTGCAAACTGATGAAATTTTTACTTAATTTATACTAAATTGATCTTCAGTATATAAAGATAATTGAAAATGAATCTTGATGTCAATGGAAGGGGAGAGGGAGCGGGAGATGGGAGGGGTGTGAGTGCAAGGGAAATTATGGGGGGGAACCCATTGTAATCCATTAACTGTACTTTGGAAATTTATATTTACTAAATAAAATAACATAAAAAAACAATTTTGAAATTAAAATTCCCCCAGATTGAGTGCTGTGGCATAGTAGGCTGAGCCTCCACCTCCGGTGTCAGCATCCCATATGGGCACTTGTTTGAGACCCAGATGCTCCTCTTCTAATCCATCTCTCTGCTATAGCGTTGGGAAACAGTAGACAATGGCCCAAGTGCTTGGGCTCTATACCTACATAGGAGACTGTGCAGAAGCTCTTGGCTCCTGGCTTCTGGTCAGCCCAGCACCAATCATTGTGGGCATCTGGGGAGTGAAACAGCATATGGAAGACCTTTCTCTCTGTCTCTCATCCTATCTGTAACTCTGCTTCTCAAATAAGTGAATAAGATCTTTATTAAAAAAAGAAAAGAAAATGTCTTGATTACTTTTATGGCAGCAATGTTAGTCATTACATACATATAAAATTGTGTTTTCTATGGTGACGGCTGGACAGTGAGTGAAAACAAGCCTAAGTTCTTAGGTTTGAACAGCTGCTGCCTTGGGGTCAGGCATTTCACTAAGTTATAAGCCATACTCTTATGCTGATCTATAAGTTACTATCTATCTTGCCTTAAAAATAAAGATATAAGCTATTTGTGTGTTACCACATTTAGGAAAATGGTACCAACATTTACCTCAGTTATGTGTACTGAGCAAATATATTTAAATCTGATTTTTTTTTTCCTTAGCATAGTAGTGGGAGTTGATTTTGGAATTCCTTAGTCAGAGAAAACCTTTCTGAATGTAACTATGATGCTGCCAACGAACGGATGAGATGGAATCATGTGTGTGAAAGTCTAGGATTAGAATATTCTGGGCAGAAAACTAGTGGGTCTCATTTTTTATCATTTGGTTGTTATAGTTGGGTATTAGCAAAACTTTAAAGTGGGACAACCATAATTGCAGCCATTGTTATGTGATCAGTTTAATAAAGAAAATGTGAAAATAAGTGCCTGGCATGTTTTTAATGTTACTTATTTTCACTTATTTTAGTGGCAAACCAACAGAGAGATCTTCAGTGCAATGATTTACTGCACAAATACTTGAAACATTCAGGACTGGGCAGGTTCTATCTAGGAGTTTGGTATTTGGTGGACCCTCCGCAGGGTTGGCAGGGACTCATGTATATAAGCCATACCTGCCTCGCAGCATGCACATGATCTAGAATCTGGAGTACAAATATAGTAGGTTAGGCACTACTCTATGGGATGCCAGTGTCCCCAGGAACAGCTTACCCTGTCAAATTGCTCCCCCTAGTCTGGCACAGTTTAGAAGCTAAACACCTATTATAGTTTATATCTTTTCCTTAAGGCTTTTTGTACCTTGTTGAAGATATTGACACAAAAGGCAGACACAGAGATAACACAGATAGATACCTACTCACATGCCAGTTGAGACACGCAGAACTCTCTTGGGTCCTATAGGTCAATCCCTATGTGTGCCTGCAACTCCAGGAACATAACCTCGTTGAAGCTGAGATACAGGAACTGGAAACTCAGTTCCAGTCTCCCATGTGGATGGCTAGAACTTAAGTACTTGAGTCACCACCAACTGCCTCACTCTGCCCACATTTGTAGGAAGCTAGATTTCTGAGCTGGAGCCTAGACTTAAGCCCAGGCACTCTCACATCAGACATAATCCTTTAGACTTAGCTTCTTCACCATTTGACCAACCACTTGCAAAGAGACTGTTTCCCCTTTCTTTCTCTCTTCAGTGCATACCTATAAGGAATTAGTTCCTCACATTTCCCCATCCCATGAGTAATTCAACTATGTGCTAAGTACTTTACAGCTGTGTAAACTCAAGGTTTCTTTCATAAATCCAGTACCATGCAGTGAAAAAGAAAGGTTTAGGTATCACAAGGAATTTGTTGAGTTTTAAGAATAATCTTTTCTAAGAAATAAAGAATGTTTCCACTCTACCAGTGACCAAATATATGAATACTAACTACCTTGGAACTTTTTCTAATTCAGGGATGATTTCTTTTGGAAATTTTCTATAGGAATATAGTAACTTTATACTTGAGGCCTTTCTGGTAATATTTTAATTGACACCTTAAATAAATTTTGTTGGTGAGTTCCAACTATGTGGTAGGGCAGTTAGGCACTGACTTTACAGGTTTGGGCTACTTCTCTTATGGTTGGAACAGAAAATCAAGGTAACAAGCACTAACAGTTACCTCTAAATGCCTCATAAAAAGTAATGAGAGACTGTTGAATAGAGATATTGAGGGTGTCTGTGCTTCGTGTTGGAATGGTTTGTATGGTGGAATTCTGTAGGCAGAGGGAAAAAATAGGGCTACTGATTTGATGCTGCCCAGCATAAGAATGAGAATGTACATTCGCTCTGAATGTCTAGAAGGAGGACATTATGGACAGAAAGATTAGTGGATGACCTCTGTTTATTATTTTATTCTTCACTTCCAGAAATTAGCAAGATGCAGGTAGTGGACTAACCATCACCCTCAATCTTTTTTTAATATGTTATTGTGTGTAGAAAATAAATGATGCAAATGAGTGTCAGACACATGTTAGAAGCTGAAGCAGAAAAATACACTTACTCTTATTAAAGCTTACAGTACAATCTTCACAGTATTTCTTTCTTTCAGTGAGTTGCATACTAATACAGGTTTTTGCATACTGTTACGAAGCATAACATAAAGGAAAATTTTACTTACTCTCCTGCTATTTCATTCAAACCATCTTCACGTGTTTAAACATTGTATTAAATAATATTTAGGACAGGAATTCTGCCTAGCATTTAAGAGCTCAGTTGGGATTCTGGCAGCCTACATCTTAGTACCTGGGTTAATGTCTTAATTCCAAATCCAGCTTCCAACTAACGTGCATCCCTGTAAGCAACGGGTCTAAGCTAATGTAATTGTGTTCTTGCCATCCACATCAGAGACTGGGACTGAGTTCTTGGCTCTCAGCTTTGGTGTGGCCCATGGCTGACAAGTGGTGGCATTTGGAGACAGAACCAGTGAACTGATATACTCCCTAGCCTGTCTAGTCTCTTTCTCTCTTTTTCTCTCCGTGTTATATTTTTCTTTCTCTGTATTTCTTGACCTGTCAAATAAGTAAATAAAAAGAAAACTTAGCATTTCTAAACCACTGTGTATGTAAATGTACAGCTTCTGAGATGTTCTGTTTATACTCAGTATGGCATACTTTGAAGTTTCTTATGTTTAGAATGTTAAGACAAAACCTAGAAATTGTTCATGTGTTTAACTCTGTATTATAACACTACAATTTTCAATGTGTTTTTCTAGTTTGTCTTCTTTATTTTATTGGGGAATACAATGCAGAGTTGACTTTTTGAGTTAGTTTGTAGCTAAAAATATGTTATTAGTATCATAAGTTATTGTTCCTCTGAACCTCCATGCTGCATTTATAGAATCAGTAACATGAAACTCAAAGTTAGGCCTGATCTTGAGAATTTGTATAAAACATGCTGATCTTATTTTTGCCTTTATAAAGTGGAACTCTTTAGAAAGTGGAAAATTAAGATTCTTTTAGAACATTGTTGGGAAGTGTATGCAACTCATTATTGGCATTAACTTTAATAGACTATTTCTACAAATTCTTGGAAGGAATCCATTAATCAATCAATGGCAGCAGATGCAAAAGGAAAAGATATGAATGAACCACTGGAAGGTAAGAACTGTAGTTTTTAAAGCCAGTTGACAGATGTTTATCTAAGACATGAATATTGATGTATACCAATAGCTGAAGAAAGTTGTGTATTAAATGCATAGTAAGGAAAAGATAAATGAGAGTGGTAAGCTGTGTATTGTGCCACTAGTTAGCAATGCATTAAATTGTGAGTGCCCCAGAGGAGCTGAAGTATTAGCTCCATTTCAGGATAACCTACAATCAGAATAAAGTCAGGGAATGAGGATTCAGAATGAGGGAGAGCCCCCATTCTGAGGGCTGAGGTGATATCTCATGGTAATTTTCTCATTGCATTTTCCTAATGGCTAGTAATATTAAGTATTATATATATTTATGTGTGTGTGTGTGTGTGTGTATATTGACTATTTGTATTTCTTCTTTTGAGAACTGTCCATTCATGTCCTTTGCCCATCTCCATGTATTTCTGAATGTTCTATTGTTCTTCTGGTTGACTTGTCATTTCATTACTTGGTAATTTTAGTCTTTTTAAATGAAATTAGAATGGGGAAAAGGGTGAAATAAAATTAACTGCCTGAGAAAAAGCCCATTAAACCATGACATCTTATGCCATTTAAATTTGGGGGATGTGGCAGGGATGAACTTAAGGCTACATTCCAGAAAGGGGAGTTAAGGAAAAGGAATATATAAGGAAGCTTTGTAAAGACTAGAACTTCTTAAACTTAAGAATCTCTGGGGACCTTATTCAGCATGCACATTTTGTTTCCTTAAATGTGGGATTCTGCATTTTCATCACGATCCCTGGTGAGCTTTATATATGTTTCCCTTCAGAGATATTTGAAAGAAGGACCTTGGGAGAAGTATTCAAGAACTAAAAGGATAGAGGGAGAGTATTTTTTGTTTTTATTTCTCAGCATGTTCCTATCCAGAGGATGAAAGGGGAGGAAGAAAGGAAGGAAGGAAGGAAGGAAGGAAGGAAGGAAGGAAGGAAGGAGGAGGGAGGGAAGGGAGGGAGGGATGGAGGGAGGAAGTGAGTGGAGATAAGTAAGGAGGAGAGGAGAGCGGGGGAGGGGAGAGAGAGAGGAGAGGGAAGGTGAGGAGAGGGGAGGGGAGGCAAAGAAGGGGGAGGAGAGGGAAGGAGAGGGGAGGGGAAGAGATGAGAGGGAAGGGGAGGGGAAGAAGGGGGAGGAGAGGGAAGGGGAGGGGAAGAAGGGGAGGAGAGGGAAGGAGAGGGGAGGGGAAGAGAGGTGAGGGAAGGGGAGGGGAAGAGAGGAGAGGAGAGGGAGAAATTGGAAACAGGAATGAGAGGAAAGAAGGAAGCCAAGAAGGAGTAAAGTTTGAGAGGCTCTGGGGAAGGCAAGGAGAGTTGAAGGGAGGTTGAAATAGAAGTTAGAACTGTAAATTGTAGCGATAAATGGGAAAATAAGTGGTGTGGATAGTCCCTAAAATTAATGGTAAGGCGAAGAATCCAGAGCACAGATCCAGAGATTACTTTTGATAAGAGGGATGATTCTGAAGAGGGAAGAAGAGAGAATGAAGTGAACCTGGTAAATTTAGAGTTACTAATGAGGAAACATGAGAATATTCACTTCAGATGCCTTCTGTATGTTCACATTTAAACACATTAGGTTATTGCTGCTCCAGAGATTACCAAAAACAGGATGGCGTGCTGGTATTGCAGCCACTCATTTGAACTTCATTTAATTCTAAAGCACTAGTGATATAAATTGCATGGATGCTATTTAAATGAGAAAAAATTTGAATACTGAATCATTGGCTTATCTTATAGCTAAATTTTTTTATAAAGTAGTTTCACAAAATTAAAGTTAGCATACTATGCTAGAATAAATGTGTTTTGGAAACAAGATATCATAGACTTCATTCCTTCAATACCAGAATTTTTCAGTAAATATTGCATTGATTTAGAATAAAAAGTGATATTAATAATTCTGTGGCAGCTTAGTGAATTTATTCTTTTTGATGACTAGGTTTCTGTGTCAAAAGCATATTATATGCAATTACTTATATATGTTCTATGTACCTTCTTGAATCAGGGGATAAAATCTTTAAGACATCTAACTAGGGCTAGGCACTGTGGGACTGTAGGTTAAGCCACCTGTTGGGATGCCTGTATTCCATGTTCGGGTGCCACACTTAAGGTTCATCCTCCTGAAAAACTGCCTGGGAAGCAGTGGATGATGGACCCAAGTACTTGAGATTCTGCAACACTTGTGTGAGAGCTGGAAGGCAATCCAGTCTCCTAGCTTCCACTTGATTTTTTTTAAAATTTATTTATTTAATTGAAAGAGTTACACAGAGAAGGAGATGCACAGAGAGAGAGAGAGAGAGAGAGAGAGAGAGAGATAAGTCTTCCATCTGCTGGTTTACTCCCCAAATGGCCACAAAGGCTGGAGCTGAGCTGATCTGAAGTCAGGAACCAGGAGCTTCTTCTGGGTCTCCCAAGTGGGTGCAGGGGCCCAAGGACTTGGGCCATCTTCTACTGCTTTCCCAAGCCACAGCAGAGAGTTGGTTTGGAAGGGGAGAAGCCGGGTCTCAAACTGGTGCCTATATGGGATGCCGGCATAGCAGGCAGCTGATTTACCTGCTACACCACAGTGCCGACCCCTCCATTTGATGTTGCCATGGCTTTTGTGGGCATTTGAAGAGTAGATGGAAGATATTTCTCTATCTCTCTCATCTATCTTCTTCCGTCTTTCAGATAAATAAGTAAAATCTTTCAAAGCTAAACTAGAGGAGGAAAGAAATGTACACAAACCAGTAGTCCTCATAATTATAGAAAACTGTGACTATGTGTTACTATCTAAAGCCAAGTATATAAACCAATTGATGAGGTCAGACCACTTTCTCTGCTAAGAAATGAATTATATATTCATCTTTCATCACAACTGTACGCTTCCAAAATACAGGAGACACCGAAAAACAATTGTAGCACAATGGAATAAATGATTCTGATGTGTACAGTAAAGGTATGCTGTCACATTCGACCATCAGCTTTCTCATTTAGACTCTCATGGTCATGATTTGTTCCTTTGATTAAAGATCACATTTGTCCCCAGTACTCAGCATGCTCACTTTTGCATATGGGTACCTTTTTGCTTAATTAACAGTCATACTTTTTGAGACATTGTCATACGTTTTGAAATCTTAGTGGCGTGTTTTATTAAACCCATAGGTCTATTTTGTTGAATTTTATTTGATTTTTATTTTTATTTTTATTAAAAATTATTATATATGTTTATGGAATTCAGTGTGACATTTCATTATATGTATACAACATATCTTGATGAGATCAGGGTAATTGGCATGTTCCTTTCTTTCACATGATATTATTAAAGCTTGGTACTCCTTTTATTTCATTATAAGATAGGTTACTGTAATATAGTTGCTCAACTATGCTGTGTAATACTAGGAACTTATTTTTGATAGAACTCTGGTTTGTATGTTTTTATATATACTTCTATCTTGCATGTTGTTTTCCTAGCACCCCAAATATAAACCGCTTCCCCCAAACCTACAGTAATCATTTCCATAGCCACACATGTGGACTTAGCGCAATGCTAAACCTGCACCATATATTGTCGGCCTTGTCATATTTACATATAATTGACTGTATATCTCTTTTGCTTTTTAGAGTTTGCTAAGGGATCCACTGAATTGACGGTAATAACGTTTACATTTTTGTCTTGAATATTCTCAATAGCTGGTAATAATGTGTATTTTACATTTTTCTCTAATTAAATACATATTATATGAAATATGCATTGTTAACTATCTTGTTTCAAAACTCCTTCAGCCTCGTCTGGAAGCAATACATCCTTTTTGGGCAACATCAGTGGGAATGAATGAAGTACAAACATGCAGACAAGGTAATTTTGCAGTACAAATGTTATCTGGAAAGAAACACAGTATTTGAAATGCCTTCAATCTTCATTCTAAAATTATTTTTGTCTGCAGATTTGATAAAAGGTTTTGACACAAATAATGCAGATATCATTTTCAGATTCATGTCTGAAAAAAATATATTTCTCATCTAGAGACTGTAACCTTTAACTGAGATGCTAAAAAATACCTTTCATTTTTTGATACCCTGAAGTGCCTAGTTTAAAATTCCTATCTTTTATTAGGATTGACATAAGTTAATTAAGATATTAAAATTTTAATGGTTTAAAATGTCATAGAATTCTGATCTTTACCTAAATTGGAACATTATTCCTAAATTTCATTTGTTTTAATTGTTCCATCCTAGTGATGTTCTGATTAGCATACTCTCATTTGTGTGTGTGTGTGATTACAGAGAACAGAGACAATACTTAATCATTTTAAAGCACAGAAGAGGAACTGCAATCTCAAAATAGTTAATAAGATTTGGAATTTTCCCAAAGAATAAATATTTGAAGTGACTGGTATGCTAATAATGATCTAATCTGATCATTATACATTGTATAATACAATACACATATGGAAACAACATATTCTATGCCACAATGATGTGTCAATATAGAATAAAAATATATACTTTAAATTTTCTTTAAGAACTGATTTAGTGTCCCCAAATAATTTAATTGTAAATTAGAACTCTTAAACATTCTCATCTTAGGGTTCTTTTTACCATTAAAATCCTTGTGAGTATTTGGAGATCCTTTACTTAGTGGACTGCTCTGTTCATAGTTAGTTTATTAGATATGAAAACTGGGAAAATTAAGTACAAGCATGCAGAGTCCTACATTCCAATATCCATGACCCATTAACTGTTACAACTAATAGTATTTATGGCATATCTCTCTGAAAAAGTTGATTCTGCACTTTTAAGAGAATGGATTGAAAATTGCAATTAACACCTAAAATTATTTGATTGGATTTTTTGGCACCTGAACATACCAACTTGGATCAGAATTTAGAATTACTACTTGAAACCCTTTGTAGTCTTACCCAAATGTTAATGCAGTCCCTGGTGATGGAATCACCTTTAAAGTTTTATTTCTTCTGAATATAACCCTACCACACGACCCAGCCATCCCATTCCTCAGAATTTACCCAAGAGAAATTAAATTGGCAAATAAAAAAGCTATCTGTACCTCAAAGTTAATTGTAGCTCATTCACAATAACGAAGACATGGAATCAACCTAAATGCCCATGAACAGAAGACTGGATAGATAAATTATGAAATACGTACTCTATGGAATAATACACAGTGGTAAAAAATGAAATCTGGTCATTTGCAACAAAATGGAGTAATCTGGAAAATATTATGCTGAGTGAAATAAGCCAGTACCAAAGGGAAAAATATCATATGTCCCTGATCTGTGACAACTAACTGAGCACTTAAAAGGAAACCTGTAAAAGTGAAACTGACACAAGAAGCAATGACTTGATCAACCTTTGTCCTGACTATCGAGGAACAGCTTACTATTTTATTCTTTTTAATATTTTCTTTTTCTACTTAATACCATTGGTTGAACTCTTTACTTAATACACAGTTATTCTTAGGTGTTTAAATGCAATTGAAAATTGACTTCTGTTAAAAATAAGAGTGGGAATAATTTAGGGAGGAGATGTACAGTTTGGCACATGATCCCTCGGACTTACTCCTAAAGGGTAAAGCTAAAATCTTGCCATGGGACTCCAAATCCCATTAAGTTCACAGGTACCAATGCTATCTTACTAGTTAAAGTGTTTAAGTTTAACTAGTTTAAGTTCATATTTGATAATAAAGATAGGATTAAGTGTCAAAGGGATCACATAAATAATATGTGTCTGCTAATAATAATTGATAGAATTAAAAAGGAGAGAACACTCCAACACGGGAAGTGGGATACAGAGCAGATTCATAGAATGGCAGATGCCCTAACATGGGAAGCAGGATACACAGCAGATTCATAGAATGCAGATGCCCTAAACAGCACTCTGGCCTCAGAATCAGCCCTTAAGGTATTTGGATCTGGCTAAAAAGTCCATGAGAGTATTTCAGGCACTGAAAGCCAAGACACTGGCAAAAAATGACCTAAATGAAAGATCTCCGTGAGTGAGATCCCAGTGGAAAGAACGACCCATCAACGAAGGAGATACCTTTCTCTGAGGGTGGGAAAGAACTTCCACTTTGACTATGGCCTTATCTAAATAATGTCAGAGTTTGTGGACTCAAGAGGCTTCCATAGCCTTGGCGGCTCATGACAAGAGCCTCAGGTGATCACTAACATCATAAATAAGAGTGTCAATTGTTAAATCAAGAACAGCAGTCACTGTGTACTTGCTCCCCTTGTAGGACGTCTGTCCTTACTGTGTTGTACTATGAGAATTAATGGTAAAACTAGTCTTCAAACAGTACTTTATACTTTGTGTGTCTGTGTGGGTACAAACTGTTGAAATCTTTACTCAGTATAGAGTTGATCTTCTATATATAAAGATAATTAAAAATAAATCTTAATAAAGAATAGGATGGGACAGGGAGTAGGAAATGGGATGGTTGCAAGTGGGAGGGAAGTTATGGGGGGAAGAACCACTATCATCCAAAAGTTGTATTTAAAAATTTATATTTATTAAATAATAGCATTCTATAACAATTTTTTCTGTTTTTCTGATTTTGTTCTAGACTTGTCTTAAAATATTTAAATATGATAGTTTATCTTTTATCAAAATGATAAAAATATTTCAGATAAATACCAGTTAGAGCATTCTGAAATTCTGTGTACTTTGCTTCTATATTGGAACTAAACTAATTTTTAATTAATGCATTTGTATATGTTAATCTTATTTGTATTATTTTCATTCTTATGGTTGAAAAAAATAACTTTTAAGTTTTTCAGACTGTGATTCTGCCCCCAGCTGCCTACTAGTTTGATTATCCTTTGATTCTCAGTAATAAGAGGTGTCAAAGATATACAAATTTGACAATTGATGATACATAACTGTTTTATTAACTCTGTGACCAAAAATCCATCAATATCCATGGAATCTCATGGACAGATAAAAGTAATAGCTGAGGAAATCAGAGCACAGAATTTAACCCTGGAGCACTTCTGTGTGACTGCATAATTTCATAGTGTGACTTTCAAACATCATTTTGTTCCAGGGTTCACTTTTGGATTACTCCTCTTATGCCACCTAAAGTCAACAGGATATAATTCAGAAAATCATTTTTATTCTTGAGCTCGAGTTCACATATAAACAATAGAGACAAGAGTATAGATAATTTTGTGTGGGCTGGTATTTAGCATAAACTTCTGAGTGGCTTACATGATTATATTTAGTACACAGGAAGATATCTGCTGTCTCCTCAAGTTGTTTGCTGATAATTTGGAAGTCAGAGGTATTTCTTAAAGAATTAAATATTCAATGAAAGATTAAGCTTAAGCTTTCGATTGATAAAATGAGTTATTTGCTATTTTTTTAAGATTGTAGCTTTCCTCTCACTGATAATTAACATATTTAAGTAGAAATATAGATCTGTAAGGGACACTAGAGTTACCTGTGTAAATGCCAAAAAAATATTAAACAAAATATCACTAATTGAATTAGACCCTGGATATGTGCCTCACCTCAGTGGCCCAGAAAACATTTTGGACTTGTGGCTTACCCAAACTAAACAATTGAAGCATATGATTCAAATAATAAAGTCTAGTGTTTTGTAGTTACAGGCAGAATCAAGTTAAAACCAATACCAAAACATCTCAAGAGGCATTTCCTTCCTCACTGCAATACTAATCAATATAAAAGCACAGAACTTGAGTTAAAAAATGTCAAGTCTTCTCCAACAAATAATGACATTAAAACAGCACCCAAGGAAGAACAAGAATGGCTTGATGGAAGTGAAAATAAGCAGGTATGTAAAAACGTAAACTTCTGATTTCATATTTTTGTGTGTATCATAGCATATACCAATCAAAATGACTTTCCATACCAGATATTTATATATATGTATATAATATATGTAGGTGTGTATATATGTATCAAAAGATCATAATTTAATGCTTAATTAAAAACATGTTAACTGCTTATTAGACAAAATCTTAGAAGCTGTTGTATCATATAGCTAATCATTTTCTTGAAAGAGGCAAACAATTCTAGATATGGTGTTCAATAACATTTTTAAAAACCTATTACACAGGCCGGCACCATGGCTCACCTGGCTAATCCTCCGCCTGTGGCGCCAGAATCCCATATGGGCCCTGGGTTCTAGTCCCAGCTGCTCCTCTTCCAGTCCAGCTCTCTGCTGTGGCCCGGGAAGGCAGTGGAGGATGACCCAAGTCCTTGGGCCCTCCACCCACATGGGAGACCAGGAGGAAGCACCTGGCTCCTGGCTTCGGATCAGCGTAGCACTGGCTGAGGCGGCCGTTTGGGGAGTGAACCAATCAAAGGAAGACTTTTCTCTCTGTCTCTCCCTCTCCCTGTCTATAACTCTACCTGTCAAAAAAAATTAAAAAAAAAAAAGAAATTATTTGTTCTTCTCCCTCACATAGGGACAAAACATCAAAATGAAGTACTGCAGCAAAATATGTGTAGATTTAAGAATGAGGTAGGATAAGATGGACATTTGTCATAGTCATTAAGATACCACTTGGGATACTAACATTCCATATCACAGTTCCAGGGTTTATGTCCAAGTGCTGCTCCAGTTCTGTCTTCCAGTAATGCATACCCTGGGAAGCAGGTGATGGCTCAAGTACTTGTTTCTCTCACGCTCCTGTGAGAGATGTACCTTTAGGTTCCCAGCTTCTGGCCTTTGCCTGGCCTAGTCATGCTTATTGTGGGTAGTTGTAGAGAACCAGCAGAGTTTGTCTCTTTCTCTCCCCCTCTCCCCTCTCCCTCTCTCCCTCTCTCTGACTTTCCAATACATTAAAGTAGATTTTTAAAAAGAATGAGGTAGTCTCATTACAAGTAGTTTCTGGCCTTGGTGAAAAAGTTTAACTTGCAAAATACAGAGAGGTTCCCTTGTTGATACTCTACTATTTGCCTGTGTCAATTACCTGATCCATTGTGATTTTCTACCTAGAAAAAGCTTATGTACACAATGATGTTGCTCTCTAAATTACAGTTAAAAAAATCTTCATAGTTTTTATTATTTAATTCTTCCCAGTGACCTTTAACCTGGGCAAATAATTTAACTGAATACTCTATGACTTTCTGAACCAGAATAAGTATAAAGATTTTTTAAAAATTTTAATAAGCCCTAGCCATTTTGATTGGCTTAACAATAAATTACAGTTATCTATTTTTTAAAGATTCACTTATTTATTTGAAAAGCAGAGTTTTGGAAGAGGGAGGAGGGAGATATGGGAGAAGGGAGGGAGGGAGAGAGAGAGGAAGAGAGAGAGCACGAGCAAGAGTGAGCTTTAATCAACTGTTTCACTCCACAATTGGCCACTTTGGCCAGGACTGCACTAGACCTAAATCAGGAGCCAGAAACTTCATCTGAGTCCCTTATGCGGGTTCAGGAAACCAACTACTTGGATCATCTTGTGTGAATTGTATTGATTACATATTAAAATATGAATATGTGGGATCCAGTGAGCATACCGTGGGAAGGAACCATTGTTTGAGAGTGAATATTAGCATGTACCTGGCCTTGAGTGTTGTGAAACATATTACAAGCATAGTGAGTCTGTTTATTGTGCCTTGTCTATTGTACAACTTTATCTGATTCAGTTAAAGTACATGGAACTTTGTGTTCCAACATGACTATTTTAAAGATTTTTTTCAAACACTTACATACACTTTCATGTAACTTTTATGCTTACACAAGTATTTCTGGTGAATTAGACTTTTATAAGTATCATAAACCACCACCAGAAGTTCAATGTTTGTCTCTAAATTAGGATGCTACATTCTGGAGTACTTACAGTTTTATAGGTATGTAAAATCTACAGATATCCTCTTATAGGTAAGGGTAGATAAAGCCTCTCTTCACTGCTCCTCACCCTGAAGGCATTGGAGTATTTTGACAAAGTCACACTGCTCATTTCTGTGATTAATTTGGTTATTTTCTCTGGTAATGTATCTGATTCAGTGTTATAGAATGTGTGTTTTCTGTTAGTGCCATAAAATGCTAGGAAAAGCCACTCTGTGTACTTTGTCTGAATCATTTAACCTTTTGAAGTTTTATTCCCATTATCAGTAGATAATGGGGCCAGAACACTTAATTACTTCATGCCTTCCGTCTATGAAATTATATGCTTAGTGACTGTAAAATGAGGGAAGCTTATTTTCAGTATCTCTCACTAACAATTCATGACATTCCCTCTTCTTTTGAGGTGTGGCAAACTTGGACGGATATATTTTAGTGAACATGTATCCCTTTTCTGAATATCAAATATCCCAGGATCTAAAGGGAAAAATATTGCTGGAAACGTAGTTTTTTTAAATTAAGATTTACTTTATTTATTTGAAAGACAGAGTTGCAGAGAGAGGTAAAGACAAAGAGAGAGGTCTTCCATCCTCTGATTCACTCCCCAGATGGCCACAATGGCTGGAGCTGCGCTGATCCGAAGCTAGGAGCCAGGAGCTTCTTCCGGGCTTCCTACGTGGGTGCAGGGGCCCAAGGACACAGCACCGGCCTGGCAACATAGTTTTCTAAAGCTTTGTTTTACACCTTTGTGAACCCAATGGTTAAGAATGTTATAATATTAAAGTTTTAATGATCTGTGAATACTTTAAAAGTTATTGTCTATGGAAAAAATAATTATAAAAGCAATGAGAGAAAAAATAGCTTAGAGCACAGAGGGGAAGCCTCCTTGCTGTTACTAGAGACCTGCATCGTCAAATCCTGTAAATCTGGATGGTTAATATAAAATCCAGGTGACAATGACAGAAAGTGACATATTTTACGTGTTTCTCTTATTGCTTCCATACAGGTTAATAAACATACTAGATAGTGAAATGTGGATAGAAATAAAAGCATAAAATGAGGAAGTACCATCTTTGACATTTTGGAGAATTGTCAAAAGTTTTAAATTCAGAAATGAAGCAGAATGCACCAAAATTTCCATGAGCTGTAATGCTGAAACTAAAGTATATAACATGCAGCACAAATACATTTCATTGACTAGAATTCATGGCGAGTGTCTTAGGTGCAGTAATCACTTTGAACTTCCATGAAGTACATCTTCCTCCTCAACAGTTCTTGGATAAAAAATATGTTAAACATGATTATCTTGGACAATTAATTCCTTGTGCCAGTATCAACAATCTTAAAATTTTTGTTACTTTGAAGAGCAAACCCAGTTAAAAAGAATTTTAGATCCTCCCATCAGGATGATTCCTAGCAAATCAGTCCTTTGTTAACCTAGTGAATTTTTGGTCCCTTTAATTGTGTTCTTTCTCTAGTTATATCAGACTCTGGCTTGGTTCTTCATTTCTGTGTGAAGCACTTAAACAGAAGTTGTTGCTTATGATGTGTGGCATATTCATATGCCACTGCTTGTCCTGTTTTCTTAGAGACTGCTGTGTTTTTCACTGTATACACTTGGCACTATGCTCATAAGCTTTCCTTCATAAAATAGAAAAAATGGGCTCATTTTGCATAATAGCTAATCTTTTTATCCAATAATGTTGTAAGGAAATTTCTTGAATTCTAAATGTTGGTCTTTCTAGATTTTTTCAAAATTGATGTTTCCAGGATTAAAGTTTATTACAATGTAGTTAAGTTATAGGGTTGTCTTTCTCTGTTACTTTCAAATAAATAAATAAATATTTTAAAAGGGAACTGACGTTACATAGTGGGTAAAGCTGCCACCTTTGATGCCAGCATCCCACTTGGTGACAATTCATAATCTGGCTTCTTACTTCCAATCTGACTCCCTGATAATGGCGTGAGGAAGACAGTGGAGGAAGACCCAAGTGCTTGGCCCCCTACTACTGATCTGGGAGTCCTGGATGCAGTTCCTGACACTTGACTTCAGCCTTGCCCAGTGTTTGCCATTGCAGCCATCTGGGGAAGGAACCAACAGATGAAAGTGCTCTCTCTCTCTCATATGTAAATAAATATTTAAGAAGTGTAGGGTTATTTATCATAACCCTACCTGAACATGAACACCATGGGAGACCAGGAGAAGCACCTGGCTCCTGCCTTTGGATCAGCGCGGTGCGCCAGCCACGGCGGCCATTGGAGGGTGAACCAACGGCAAAAGGAAGACCTTTCTCTCTTTCTCTGTCTCTCACTGTCCACTCTGCCTGTCAAAAAAATAATAATATCAATAATACCAGAAATTTACATTAGCATTTTAAGACCATTGTAGGATTCTAGCACACTGTCTATTGCCTGTGGTGTATTGTAAGAGCTAATTATTGGAGGTGAATTGTTTCTCCAGTTTCCATTGTTGTTTTATTGAAGAATTGTAACATGTGTAATATCCAAAGTATTATTGATAAACTTTTTCCAACCAGTAGCAGGATGTTCAAAATTTTTTTCTGTCACTGTAGTAGAAAACAGTGTATGTAAAACATTTATGTAGCAATAAATGTGCTACATAAAATGAATAATAAATGAACACAAAAATGTTTATATTTATGTACTAACAGCGATTTTAATATGAAACTTTCATTAAAGTTTGAAGAAAAAGGGCAGCGTTGCCAAAGTAAGGAAATGGAAGGGTTAAGAAACTTGCATGAAAGTGCTGCTCCTCCTGAGGACAGTGATGGTTGTGGACTGAATCAGCAGAGACAGAGTGGGGACCTTGACAACCAGCAATCTGCCACTAAGAAGAGTGAAGAATATTATTCGTAAGTCTATAGCAATATTTAACATTAGGTGATGTGATTTTTATTGTGCTATAAAGCCACTTCTAATTGGGTTATTATCTATGATTAACATATTTTTACTAAGGATTTTATTCCATGCTTTGGAATTAGAAATATATCAAGAAACAAATAATATTTGTAACCATACTGCTAAGTATTTGTTTAAAAGTTAATAGTTGGCAAATGTGAGGGAAAAGTTATTATCTACTGTTGGTAAATACAATTATAAGACTCTTGAAGGATAGCTTAAGAGCACATGTCAAAATTTGAAATAAACCATTCTTTGCCCTTGTAGCAACTTCACTCTGGGATTAGACCTGACAAGATAGCATAGTATGGTCTATTGTACCCTACTACACCCATAAGTTAATGACATTTATGATGTATTGTCATCATCTATTATGTAAGATGTAATAGGACAATTAGTGTTAAGGATGTAAAACACATATGATAAAGATATTTATACAAATATGTTGCAGGGCCAGTGACATGCACTCTTCCTATATGAAGGTGGTCTGAGTCCATACTTCTCTGCTTCCTATCTACCTTCCTTTATTTTTTTTTTATTTTTATTTTTTTGACAGGCAGAGTGGACAGTGAGAGAGAGACAGAGAGAAAGGTCTTCCTTTTCTGTTGTTTCACCCTCCAATGTCCGCTGTGGCTGGTGCGCTGCGGCCGGCGCACCGCGCTGATCCAAAGCCAGGAGCCAGGTGCTTCTCCTGGTCTCCCATGGGGTGCAGGGCCCTAGCACTTGGGCCATCCTCCACTACACTCCCTGGCCACAGCAGAGAGCTGGACTGGAAGAGGAACAACCGGGACAGAATCCGGTGCCCTGACCAGGACTAGAACCCTGTGTGCCAGCGCCGCAGATGGAGGATTAGCCCATTGAGCCATGGCGCCGGCCCCTATCTACCTTCCTAAGAGTGTATCTCATGGGAGGCAGTAGATGGTGGCTCCAGTACTTGGGTGTCCACACCCACTTAAAGAGACCTGGGTGGAAATTCAGACCCTTGGGGATCCTTGCCCAGTCCTGGCTGTCCTGGGTATTTGTGAATGAAACAGCAGATGGAAAATCTTTCTTAATATGTTAGTCTATCTAGATGTGTTTCTCTGCCTTCCAAATAAAATGAAAATAGGTTAATAAAACATGTTGCCTATGTACATGACATTTACAATAACATTGTTTATCAAAAATTTAGAATCAGTCTAAATACCAATCAAAATAGAAATAAATTGTCATACCAATAAAAGAACGCAATATGCAACCATTTTTAAAAATGAGGTTTATCTATAGTACACTGCTTTTTCACAACTAGAGAATATTTAATGTAACTAGTTTGGTGATGCATCTTAAGCATATTTTATTAAAATACCATATCTGCTGAGTTGCAAAAGGGGAGTCCGTGGGACACTTGTACTTCTTATAACCAATACCTATTTTATTTTTGAGTTTTGATCCCAATTTGAGCCTAAATATTAAAATATAGAATCTATAAAATAATTTGAGCATTATTGGGTATTTGCATACTGTGGTCCATATTCCTTATAAGCATTTCAGTTTGTTAGGTAAACCTTCTCAAATGCGTCAAAGGATGTTTGATCTGCTAAAGCAGGAGTTGTAAACTTTTTCTGTAAAGAACCAGATAATGAATATTTTAGGCTTTTGGCATCAGAAGGTCTCTATAGTTGTGGTGCGAAATCCTCCATAGACTATAAGGTAATTAGTGTGGCTTAATATCACTAAAACTTTATGAACAGTACTAGGAAAGATTCAGCTGGATTTATTCTTGGGCACGGTTTTACTGAACCTATGCCAAAACATTGGTACTGCTAATGCAATAAATCTTCCTTTAGAAGATGGACTACAGGCTAAAGAATGTTTCAGAATGTATCATACTGTATTTTTCAGGAGTGACATCAAATAAAGCTTACAAAAACTCTAGTTGTGGAGCTGGTGCAGTGGCATACAACTTAAACTTCCACCTGCAGTGTTGTCATCCCATATGGGTGCCAGTTCAAATCCTGGCTGCTCTTCTTCTGATCCTGCTCTGTACTAACTTGCCTGGTAAAGCAGCCAAAGATGGCCCAGGTGCATGGGACCCTGCACCCATGTGGGAGACATGGAAGAATCTCCTGCCTCCTGGCTTTTAAGCAACCCAGAAGTCGCCCTTGAAAAATTTAGATTTTCAATATTATCAGCAGAATAGTAATAATCAGTTATATAATACCTAATGAGGAACTTTTAAAGGAATTCACTTCCTTAAGTTTATGAATTATTTACTGCTTTGATCAGAACATTTTTAGTTCCAACAACTTTAGAGAATCACAAATATTCCCTAAAATCATTATGCGAGGATTGAAAAATTCGGTTAAACATGGAGAAAAATAGATCTTCAATGATCATGGCCTTAGCAGTGATCTCCTTGGGAGAACTGTCTCTATTCCCTGACTCAAATTGACTTTCTCTTCACTCTTGGACTCACTCCAGTTGTTTACATTCCCACAACCCCTCCAAAACAGGTTTTCTCTGGATTGCCACTGATTTTTAATCTATGTTGTAGTACTTTCCAAGGTCTCCTTTTCTTTTCATTAAATATTCCTTCCCTCCTTCCTTCCTTCCCTCCTTCTTCCCTTTCCCCTTCCCCCCTTCCTTCCTTCCCTCCCTCCCTTCTCTCTCTCTCTCTCTCTTTTTTCTCTATTTTTCTCTTTCTCTCTCTCTCTCTCTCTCTCTCTCTTTCTCTCTTTTTCTAGTTAGAGGGACAGAGAAAGAGATACAGAGAGATCTTGCATCCACTGGTTTGCTCCCCAAATGGCAGCAATGGCTGGACCTGGGCCAGCCTGAAGCCAGGCATTTGTTTCAGGTCTCTCATATGGTTGCATGAGCCCAAAAACTTGGACAGTCCTCCACTGATTTCCCAGGCACCTTAGCAGGGAGCTGAATTGGAAGCAGAGAAATCAGGACTCGAACTGGCCCATATGGGATTGTGGCACTTCATATGGTGGCTTAACCCTCTGTGGCAAAGTGCTGTCACAGGCTCTCATTTTAATGAACCACTCAAATATTTGATCCTTTGAGGGTAAAACATCTTTAAAAATTCTTTTCAAATAATACATTTTGTCAATATAGTTTGAAACAATAGGAAAATAACAATTACTTATGGTCTTATATTTGTGGACAGACTATTTTAGGACAAGCTAAACATATTTGGGCATTAAGTCTCAGCTTAGATTTTGTAACATTTTATTATGTCTGTAGAACACTTTTCCTTCAAGATCATTTCTTGACTTGGCTTTCAGGGTATAATTCTCAACCAGTCTCTTTCTGTTTCTTTTCTACTCCATCCTGTGTTGTTTCCCTTGTTTCTCTCATCTTCTACTTTTAAAACATGGATATATCCCAAGGCTGTCTTTGATCTTTTCTCTCATGGTTTCACTATCTTGTTTATGCAAATGAATTATGAATTTTAACTGCAACTTAGATCTCTCTCCTTAATTCCATATTTTAGATAATAACCTGCCTACTCAACACTTCTCTTTGGTCATTTATTCAGTATTTAAAATTTAGCCTAGTGCTGTGCTAATGATGTTCTTGTTCATAGCAGCCCCTCATATAGTTTTCCTACTTCAGCGAATGGCAACTCTTTCATCTGTTCTACCAACAGCCTTGGAGCATTCTTAGACCTCAGCCTTTATGTGACAGCACATGTTGTCAAGTATTCCTTCACAATATGTCCAGAAACTAGATACATCATATCCAAGTCAGCATCAGCTGCTGTCTATATTAGTTTGTAGATTCCTCAGTGATTTTCTTGTTTATTTTTTCATAAATCCTCTTTTCATTAAATTTTAACACAGGGGATCTCTTAAAGTCAGATTATGTCATTTTTTTCTACTTAAAACCTGGTGATTTCATTTGACTTCACATACTAAACTTCCTTTCTAATGCCTACAAGGCAATACATGTTGTGACCTCACTCCTCCTTATCGCTGTGATTTCAATTTGTGATTTTCCATCTCCTTCATTCTACTTATGCTACAGAAATTTTCACTATTCCTTAAACATACCTGGGCTCCTTCTGTGTTGAAGATTCTTCCTTAGATGTCCACCTGGCTGATTCCTTTCCTTCCTTCAATGTTTTTCTTCCTAAGCAAGATCTTCTTTGGCCTTCTAATATGTCCACACCTCCCTTAAACATGGAAAACATCGTTTCTCTGCTTTTGTTCTCTTCCTCTAACATACTGTATTTTGTTTTTATATAGCTTGTTCATTGCTAATGTTTTTGCTTTACTCTTTTGTGTTGGATTTTGTCTTTTCACTGCCATATCTTTTGTACATAGAAGAGGCCCTAACAGCATGCAATGAGCAGCTACTCAATAATTTTTTATTACTTGAGTGAATGCAGCTTATCCTTTGAGTTTTTTTAGACATTAGAATAATACTCAAAAATTGATTTTATCTGGGTTCATTCTATTTATTTTAGTTGGCAATTATATACATTTGTAATCTTTCGACTCTAGTAGTCTACATTTATGTGTGTATGTATATATGTTTATTATATATACATATATGTTTTATTATACCTTATATAATAAATATAATATCCTGGAAATCAACAGATGATGGCTCCAGTACTTGGGTCCATGCACCCAGGCAGGAAACAAGGATTGATTTCTGGACTCCTGACTTCACCCTGGCCCAGAGGATAGGTGATCCCTCTCCCTTCTTCTGCTCCTTCCTCCCTCCCTCCTCCTACTCCATCAGCCCTCTCTGCCTGTCAAAGTAAATTAAAAAATTAAATGTTAAATTTTCATCTAAGGTTGGCATTATTATATTTCACAAAAAAACCAAAAATATAGCACAATTATAACTGCTACTTCCAAACCTGAATATTATGCTTACAGACTGTGGACCTCTATATTTTAGTGTAGCATTCAAAATTAGTGTAGGCCTCATCTCTCAATGATAGATTAGGTATTTTATATTTTCTTGCAAATTCCAAAGAATATATCAGATATCATATGCCTACTCTTTGTTTGCACATTCTGTAAATAAAATGGTTTTCATCCACATTTTTCCCTCATGAGTTCTTTTTCCTTTTTTTTTTTTACCTCCTTTGTAAAGCTTTCCTGTGCTCAGATATCAGTTTCCAATATCAACACTTTTTTATTTAAGAGTCTGAAACAGGGGCTGGCACTCCTGGCGTAGCTACTGAAGCCGTTGCCTGAGGTGCTGGCAATCATATATGGGTGCTGATTTGAATCTCGACTGCTCCACTTCTGATCCAGCTCTCTGCTATGGCATGGGAAGGCAGTAGAAGATGGCCCAAGTCCTTGGGTCCCTGCACTTGTGTGGGAGACCTGGAATCAGCTTCTGGCTCCTGGGTTCAGATCAGCCTAGCTCTCACCATTGCAGCCATTTGGGGAATGAATCAGTGGATGGAAGACTTCTCTCTCTCTGCCTCTCTGTAACTCTGCCTTTCAAATAATAAATAAATAATATTTTTAAAAAAGAATCTGAAGCAGTCAGAGATAACTCCCCTCTTCTAATACACCCCATAAATTCCCTCAGTGGCCATAACTGAGCCAGGCTTAAGCCCATAGTCAGCAACCCAAACCATGTCTTGCATAAAAGTGGCAGGGATTAAACTACTTGGACCAATCTTCTGGTGTTTCCCAGTATATTATAAAGCTGGAATTGATAGTGAATCCAGGATTCAAATCCAGCACTTTGATATGGGACAAGAATGTCTTACCCTGTATGTTTATATATGTATAAACATATATATAGTATGTTTTATATACACATATATAAAGATTTATTATTAAAGGGCAGAGGGAGTACAGAGTGACAGAGAAGGGAGACAGAGATGCGGTCTTCCATCTGCTGGTTCACTCCTCAAATGGCCACAGTGGCTAGAGCTGCACTGATTTGAAACCAGGAGCCAGGAATTTCCTTGGGTTTCCAAGGAAGGTACACAGGCCCAAAGACTTGGTCCATCTTCCGCTTCCTTCCCAGAGCACAGCAGAGAGCTGGTCAGAAGTGGAACAGCAGGGACTCAAATTGGCACCCATACGGGATGCAACACTGCAGGCAGTGCTCTTCCCACTATGCCACAGCGCCAGCCCCCTGCTTATTAACGAATAGGTGAAACACCACCCTCCCAATATCAACCCTTCCATATTACCTTATATCATAATTGTGTTTTTACCTGTTTTCCAAAGAAGATATAACAAGGTGTGTGTTCAGTAAGTACGTATAAATGCATGTTATAAAATTATTCAGCCTGGCCAGCGCCGCGGCTCACTAGGCTAATCCTCCGCCTTGCAGCACCGGCACACCAGGTTCTAGTCCCGGTCGGGGCACCGGATTCTGTCCCGGTTGCCCCTCTTCCAGGCCCAGCTCTCTGCTGTGGCCAGGGAGTGCAGTGGAGGATGGCCCAAGTACTTGGGCCCTGCACCACCATGGGGGACCAGGATAAGTACCTGGCTCCTGCCATCAGATCAGCGCGGTGCGCCGGCCTCACGCGCGGTCCAGCGCGCCGCGCGGCGGCCATTGGAGGGTGAACCAACGGCAAAGGAAGACCTTTCTCTCTGTCCTCTTCTCTCTCACTGTCCACTCTGCCTTCAAAAAAAAAAATATTCATCCCTGGATTTCAAAGTTTTTGTATCAAAACTACTTTTCAACCCAATTTTCATGTAATTTTTTAAATTTCCTGTACCCCTTTCTTTACAAGTAGTTATCACTTCCTATCTTGTATTTGAGTTAGTAAATGAATTAGTTGGGGAAGAATAAGAATTTGGTCAAAATTGTGGCTTCTTTAATCTTTCCCAGTAGAGTAAAAAACATTGCCATGTTAATGATCTTTTTAAAATAGCTGCCCTGCCTTGCATATAAAGGAAATAAAAATGAAAATGAAAAAGTGACTTCCATGGAGTATGGGATTAGACCAGTGTTTGAGAATGGCTTTTCACTCACTAGAAGTCTACTGCAAGTGATTTATGACAACAATCTGAGTGAGCTCGATCGTCTTAAAAGGTAAAATCTATGAATTCTTTACTTTCCAGTGAAGCAATGTTAATGGTGACTACTTTTAATGAAAATAGGAAAGAATAGTGTAGTCTACAAGCCAAACAAGAGAATACTCAACTATATCAATACTGCAGTAAGGTTAAGATACTTGACAAAAAAAATGTGGCAGTCAAGGAGATTTTCTTTTATTTTAACATAGAAGCTTTTAGTCCATCTATACTACTAGAAATGATGTAGCAGAACGCATAGTGAATTTAATTTTATGCACATATCTAGGTATAACAATGCTTGGTGCTTTAAATTATCTGTAGAACTTCAATTCATGTATATTTTATGGTAAAAGATGGTTCATTCAGAATTGGCTCAGAAATGGAACATCTGTTTTTGAAGACTTTAACTTTTTTCATTTTGATTTACTTAAGGAATACAAACATCATGCATCATGTATACAAATTCAGGAACATAGTAATTCTTCCTACCTTATTTCCACCCATAATCCCACCATTCTTCCTCCTTCCTCTCCTCTTTCTATTCTTATTTTTAACAAATTTCTATTTTCAGTTACTTTATACACACAAGGTTAACCATACACTAAGTGAAGAGTTCAAACAAATAGTATGAACAACAACAACAAAAAACACTGCTCCTCAGTACTCAAGACGAGCTGTTCAAAATCATCACATCTCAAAATGTCAATTTCATCCCAATAGATTACATTTTACATACTCTATTAGTTATGACAGATCAGAAAGAACACAGGTATTTGTCTTTTTTGAGATAAGCTTTTTACTCTAAGTAATCATTTCTAGTTACATCCATTTTGTAACAAAAGAAATTATTTCATTTTACCCCAGTATATTATTCCATAGTGTATTTATAGCATAATTTCTCTACCCAGTCTTCAGTTGATGGACATCTTGGTTCATTTCATATGAGCTGTAATAAACATGGTGTACAGGTTATTCTTTCATTTGCCAATATCTTTACATTTGGGTAAATTCCCAGGATTGGGATGGCTGGATCATATGGTAGGTCTGTATTGAGATTTCTGAAGTATCTCCATGCTATCTTCTACAGCAGGTGCACCAGTTTACATTCCACCAACAGTGGATTAGGGTACCTTTACACCCACATCCTTGTGAACATTTATTGTTGTTGATTTCTGTATGAGAGCCATTCTAACTGGAGTGAAACTCATTGTGGTTTTGATTTGCATTTCACTGATTTTTTAAAACTTTTTTAACCCAATAAATTGTAGCCATGGGCCGGCGCCATGGCTCACAGGCTAATCCTCCACCTTGCAGCGCCGGCACACCAGGTTCTAGTCCTGGTATGGGTGCTGGATTCTGTCTCAGTTGCCCCTCTTCCAGGCCAGCTCTCTGCTTTGGCTAGGGAGTGTAGTGGAGGATGGCCCAAGTGCTTGGGCCCTGCACCCCATGGGAGACCAGGAGAAGCACCTGGCTCTTGGCTTCGGATCAGCACGCGCGCTGCGGCCATTGGAGGGTGAACCAACGGCAAAAGAAGACCTTTCTCTCTGTCTCTCTCTCTCACTGTCCACTCTGCCTGTCAAAAAAAAATAAATAAAATAATTGTAGCCATGAATGCCTGACTCTACTGGGTCAGTACTGTGCTCATACTAATTTTATTCCTTCATACTATTTGTTGAACTCTTTAACTAGTATAAGGTTAATCTCATGTGTTTGTTAACTGAAAATAGATATTTGTGAAAAATAAGAATGGAAAGAGGATGGGGAAGAGGAAGACAAGTGGGAGTATGGGTGGGATGGAGGGTAGGTTAGAATCACTATGTTCCTAAATATGTATGTATGGAATCCCATGAAATTTATGGTCCTCAAATAAATCAAAATGAAGAATGTTAAGCATTTTTTCAAGTGCCTGTTGCCCATTTGAAATTCCCCACTCTTGAAAATGCCTGTTAAAGTCCTTTGCCCATTTCTTTAACTGGATTTTTGTTTTGTTGTGATTGAGTTTCTTGAGCTCTTTATAACTGAGGATATTAATCTTTTATCAGTTGCATAATTTGCAAATATTTTCTCTCAATCTGTCGGAGCTTCTCTCACTTTGCTGAGTGTTACTTTTTAACGTACAGAAGCTTCCCTGTTTGATGCAATCCCGGTTGTCAGTTTTGGCTTTGATTGCCTGTGCTTTTCTGGGTCTTTTCGAAGAAATCTTTGTTCTATGCCAATATACTATGGAGTTTCCTCAATGTTATTTATTAATTTGATGGGATTGAGACATAGATTTAGCTCCTGATCCATTTTGAGTGGAATTTGTGTAAAGTGTAGAGTAGGGGTCTTATTTCATATTTCTGCATGAGGAGATCCAGTTTCCCCAACACCATTTGTTGAAGAGACTGTTCTTTCTTCAGGGTATTGATTTTGTCTTCTTTGTCAAAAGTAAGCTCATGTAGATGCATGGATTGATTTCTGGAGTTTTCTATTCTATGCCATTGGTCTATACATCTGTTTTTGTGCCAGCACCAATGTGTTTATATTATATCTGCCCTATAGTATATCTGAGGTCTGGTATTGTGATGCCTCCAGCTTTTTTTTTTATTGTTTAACATTGCTTAGCTATTCAGGGTCTCTAGTGTTTCCTTATGTATTTTAGCATCATTCTTTTTAAATCTGAGAAAAATCTGATGGGTATTTTGATTAGGAATGAATAGAATCTGTACAATTGCTTTTGGTAGTACAGACATTTTCATGATTTTGATTCTTCCAAACCATGAACATCGAAGATTTTTCTACTTGTTATGTCTTCTTCTATTTCACTTTCTAATGTTTTGTAATTTTCATCATAGAAACTTTGACATCCTTGGTTAAATTTATTTGAAGGTATGAATTTTTGTAGCTGTTATGGCATTGTCTAGTATAGATCAGCTATTGATTTGATTTTTTGTGTGTTAATTTGATATTCTTTCCACTTTACCAAACTCTTTTATGAGTTTCGGTAGTTTCTTAGTGGAGTCTTTTGCATCCCCTAAATATGAATCATGTCATCTGCAATTGGAATAGTTTGATTTCTTCCTTCCCAATTTGTATTCCTTTTGGTTTCTATTTTCTTGCCTCGTGGCTCTGGCTAAAACTTCCCTGATTATATGGAATGACAGCTGGTAAGAGTTGGGCATCCTGTCTGGTTCCAGATCTTAGGGGAATGCCTCCAGTTTCTACTCATTCAATAAGGTGCTCACTGTGGGTTTGTCATAGTTTGTCTTGATTGTACTTGATGAGTGTTGCTTCTATACTCAGTTCGCTTAAGATTTTTCATCATGAAAGAATGCTAATCTATTATATATGCGTTTTCTAAATCCGATGAGATAATAATGTGTTTTTTCTTCAATTTGTTAATGTGTTGTATAACATTGATTGGTTGCAAATGTTGACCATACTGCATACCAGGGATAATCCTACTTGGTCTGGGTGAATGATCTTTCTGATGTGTGTTGGATTCAATTGAGCTGTATTTTGTGGAGGATTTTTCATCTTTGACCATCGAGATATTCTTGTGATTTTACAGGGTAGAAAACTTCTTACTCTTAGGAAGATCAGTGTGAAATTCACAAGAATTGCAATAATGTACAAGTTCTTAAGTGTGAATGCTTGTAATAATTCAATACATCTTCTTCAGATTGTAATCTTAGTTACATAGAAGCACACCATATAGAAGTTCATGATTTGTTTTGAACATTGTATTTTGAGTTATGTTTTGGTGTATTATAAGTCATGCTGCAACAAACATCTTCTATATAAACATTTCTTTATATGCCAAGTGCTTGACTTTGAATAAATACTTCAATATGGATTTTATGGCTAAATTTGAGGGAAACCTTTTTTAAATGCTGGTTAATATTTCTAAATTTTTGTCAAGAAAGTACATAAGCTTATACTTCCATCAACAGATATCTAGTTGACAGTTTTTTTTAACCTTTGAAGACTTTGAAATTTACTATTTTAACATGCATGGGATGACAGAAAACTGGAAAGTAATCTCTGATTAGTTTCTTGAACATTTCTCTTTTTTACATGCAAAAATTCGTTTCATGTTCTATGTTGAAGCACGTAGCACCCTTGCTTAATTAACAATGTCATTTTTTGAAATTGTTTATGGAATTTTAATATTCATTAAGTTGAAAATACTACCAAAAATATCAATTATATGAAGTGACACATATACTCTTTACCCTTGGATGATATTAATCAGTAGCTGTGTGTATCATGTAACAGGCATGTATAAATTATAGGCTGTCTTACACTCTAAATAATTTTTAAGGATACGTGTAATATTGATAAAGTTGAAACTGTAGTTTCTACTAACTATATAAGGTGTTTATAAAAAATAATCTCATTAAGGGCCAGAACTGTTGCATAGTAAGTTAAGGCCTCTGCCTGTAGCACCAGCATTCTGTATGGGTACTGGTCCAAGTCCTGGGTGCTCCACTTCTGATCTAGCTGCCTGCTTAAGGCCTAAGAAAGCATTAGAAGGTGCCAAGTGACTTGGGGCTCTGCACCCCACATGGGAGATAAGGAAGAAGTTCCTGGCTTCTCCCTTTCATATCCTCTGAGCTCCTGCTGTTGTGGCCATTGGAGAGTAAACCAGCAGATGGAAGACCTCTCTGTGTGTCTCTTCTCTCTATATATCACTTTGCCTCTCAAATAAATGCATAAATCTTTTTTTTAAAATTCATTAAAGATTGGTTAATTCTAAATTACCTTCCTAATGGAGATGTAATTATGAATGGATGAGGAAGAGGTAATTTTCAACTAATAACTCTACTGGATACATTTCGAAATTCCTTTCTTGATAACAGTTATCAGTTGCAAGTAACAGAATCTTATCAATTATCAGAATGTAATTTCTGATAACAAAGAATATTTATTTATTTGAAAGAGTGATAGAGCAGAGAGCGATGTGAGCGAGTGAGCAAGCTGCTGGTTCACTGTGGTTGCCTCAATGGCCAGGATTGAGCCAGGCTGAAGCCAGGAGCTAGGAGCTTCTTCTAAGGTCTCCAAATAGGTGGCAGCAGAGATTGAAATACTTGAGTCACCTGTGCTGCTTTCCCAGGCCATTAGCAAGGCGCTAGATAGGAAGTAACTCTGCTGGGAGAGGAACCTGTGGCCACACGGGGT